TAGCTTGGGAGTCACTGAAGTCTTTGTGCTACTGGTCTGGTGATATTAGAGCACAAAGACAGGAAGCAAATCACAAACAAAAAACATCAAGAGACAAAGTGAGAAATTAAGTACTCACTAATTTTGGTACTAACATTTGAGTACTATTTTATCTGTATTTTGTTGCAGCTTCTGCAGCTGTTTCAGTGTCTGATATCCCTTGGAGTGGTCCAATTGGTAAGATGTTGGATAAAAGCTTAATGTATTTCAGTGCTGGTTTCATTATACCCCTTAAATGATAATCCACTCAAGAGCATGCTTCTAAAATCAGTTCCACCTTGTAACACATTTCAGGTTTCTTGGCCATTTTGCATTTCATGAAGTATATGTCAGCTTTGGACTTGCTTTATGCTTTTAGTTAATTTGATAAAAAAGGATGAGAAGAAGAGGAAGCTTTTGTGTTTCACCAGTGGGAAACTGAACCCTCAGTGGGTTGTCAACTAAATTTGTCTTTCTAACTGTATGTTATGTTAAAAAACTGAGAGACACAGGGTCAAAAATTATTGATTGAAATAATAGAAAAAGCTTTCAATCAGTTGAATGAAATTATTTTGTTTGTGGTTTTATATTTTAGGTGCAGTTAGAGTTGGAGAGGTTGATGGAAAGTTTGTTATTAATCCCACATGGTCAGAACTTAGTATCAGCAAGTTGAATCTTGTTGTTGCTTGCAGTAAAACAAAAGTTGGTAAGATGAGAATATAAGCAACTGTTTAGTTGTAAATTCATAAGGTCACATTTCCCCAACATTATCAATGAGCATGTGCTTTTCCACTAGGGTTGACAATTAAATTAAAGAATGAAACTTAATTTGCTTACCAGAATGATGTTTTTATGAGAAAAATAAAACAATAATTGTTTTATTAAGAATGAGACAAAGATTAACCTTTTAACTCCCAGCAGTGATCAATATGCAACTTCTCCCAATAATATCCATACAATATTCAGCAAACGGGTGATGAGAATACTCAAACTTATCAGGTACAAGTTGTTATCTTGATCCAACACCAAATTCTTGTAACTAATTTACAGCAGCTAGAGGGGAGAATTAGCAATCAGATCTTGGGAGTTAAAGGGTTAAAGGAAACTGTACTTGGTATTCATCATTATTGAAGGGAATTGGATGATTAATTTTAGGAGCATAAGAGAATAATAGGAGTTTCTTTGGTACCCAAGAGTAATGAAACTTTTGATTTACAACTCAGTTCTTGTTGAATGTTTGAAGTGCTGAGCTGTGGGAAAAACTTAATTCATAGCAAATAAAGTAGCACTGTACAACTTGTGTTTTCCACTTAGCTTTGATTAAGTCAAACAACAGAATAAGAATCTATGATAAATAACTTTCAAACTGATGGTATTAAAAACTGTTCTTGTGACTTTCAGTGATGATAGAGGCATTTGCTCAAGAAGTGAGCTCTGAGAGATTTTGTGAAGCTGTAAGATTTGGCTTTAAGAAGGTATGCCATGAAAAAAGATATTAATCTTACTTAATCGTTGAGATGATACTAGTGAAATTATTACTGCATTTAACTGAGGGTTATATTTCATCAACAGTGTCAAACCATTATTGAAGCTCTACTTGAGTTGCAAAGACAAGCGGGAAAGAAGAAGGACATGTCACGAGTTGGGCGTGACACACCTCCTGAAGAGATAAAGGGTGCTATTGTGAGGTAAAGAAGTCTTATAAAAAAAACTGATTGGATCGAAAAAGGTTTAATATCCACCTCTTTATGGACTGAAACTAAGAGCAGACCTCCTCCCCCCCCCCCCCCCCCCCCCCCCCCCCGAAAAAAAAAAAAAGGAAATCATGCCTAACTGAAATTAAGCACACATAATACAGACCTTAATCAAGATACACAGGACTCATACATTACTTGAACAAGGTCAATCTGTGGCATCATCTTGGCAAATTCGTTAATTGATAACTCTTGACATAGCAAATTTTGAATCGTTAAAACAAGAACATTGCTGTTTAAGAGATTGACACTAAGATCTGAGCCTGACAATCTATCACGTTTTGCCAGTTTTAGTTAGTAAAGATCACTGAACATATTTACGTTCTGTTTTTTTATTTTCTCCTAGGTTTAATTTAAACAAAGAATTCGACAAAATATTTTCAAACTTTGCCTACTCAAAGGTATGACATTTACCCTTATCTATCCCGGGAGTGTTTTTTTTTTATTGTAAAGAAAATAATCGGCAGAGGTGTCTGAAATCAGGAGATAGTGCGCGAAATTGGACAGAAGTGAACGACATCAGACAATAGTGTCGGACATAAGACGGAAATGACCGAAACCGTTGGATAGCGTTAGACATCGAATGAATTTGTCAGAAATTTGACGGATGGGTCCGAAGTCGGACCGAATACTGGGCTGTCAGACGGAACTTTCCAAAATCTGTTATAACTGTTTGAAACAGTTATATCAGAAATAGTAGGAAATAGTAGTTCTGTCGATGTTATCACAATTTCTGTAAATTTCAGTCGCATTTTGGAGCACTGGTCTAATATTTATGACACGAAATAGTATCAAACTATTTTCGCTTTATGATGCTCTTTTGATGAACAAACAAAACTTACGGAGGAACAAACTTTAAGAGGGAAATAGCCAAATCAAAGAGTTTGTATTGCAATAATGATTTTAATGTTAAGTATTATTTCACTTCAGATGGAACGCGACAAGGAAATGTTTAAAGTTAGGGATGACCATCTCTTACACTTTCAAGGTGTGTTAGAAACACAGATTTTATCAACATAACAGATCATTGGTTAGATTTGGTTTGGATCAACAATTTTACCTAGAAAGTAATCCAGGTTAATATTGGGTTGGCTCCGTTTTGCTCTGCGCCACTCTCTCAACCAACCAAGAGCAAAAACAAAAACCAGTGGGGACCAGTGTTCCTCGCGTTTTTCTGCTCTCAGGGTGGTTTCATTGATTTCTCCCTGGTTTCTCTTTGGCTCCTTGAGATATTATTCTGTGCTCTGATTGGCTGTTTTGAGAAGTGTGGTTTGTGACTCTCACTCGCAAAGTGCTCTATTGGTGGGACTCAGTGATTGAATGAACTACTACAAATAAAACATGCCAGACAAATACAACCGCTATCTTAACAAAGATAAATTTTTAATGGGCGTCTGAGAACTCTAATCTGCACCCCACAACTGACGTCTAGCACAAGAATTTTTAATGTAACCAAGTTGTTTGGTTTCAGTTTATTCGGCTTATTGTTTTAAAAGGTGGTAGATCCAAATAAAAATAATTTTTTTTCATTTTTGACTTTAACAGAGAGATTTCCAAATGTTGCCGCTCATGAGATAGAAAATGCAATATTTGAAGAAACCAAATCAGTGTTTAGGAACAACGTTCTTTATTCGTCCCAAAGGTACAATAATCATTTTACAATTTAATTCCTTACAAGGATTATTTCTTGATACATTTAACTCACAACGTAGAATGGTTTTAGAAACGAAGTTAACTGTAAAGGGGATGTTTCCGTCCACACCACTCAAGATAAACCAAGGAAAACTTGATCTGTAGGATAAACATGTTAGGGGAGCTGATTTTATCTCAGACTTTACCTTTAAGGTGTAGAGTGGCGTACTAAAGTACTCCCAAAGCGCTGAGGTAATCGATTCGTTATATCATGACGAAGACTACTGATTAAGTTTTGAAAATTTACAACGATTTATACTTATTTTGTTCAGATGTGATGGACGTGCGTTTGATGCTCTTCGACCCATAAGATGTGAAGTTGATTTGTTCAAGAGTCTTCATGGATCTGCTTTATTTCAAAGAGGGGAAACCCAGGTTTGCCTCTCTCTAAAGAGAATTTAAGATCCATGTTTGGTATATTCACCGCAAACGTCAAACCGCGGTCAGCAGTCTGTAGTTAGAAGTTAGAACTTTCGAGACTTTCAGCTTTTTAGATCGACGTCGGCTTTCGCCTGAAAATAAAAAAATTATCATGCGCGCCGCTATCTTGAATTACACAAAGTATGGAGGGCACAAACACAAAATGTGGCTAAAACGTTGGTTTTCTCGCTTCCCAAACGGATTGCTTATAAAGAAATGACTTCACCTCACATATGTTTATGGGACGTACGTGAGAATTTTCGAAGGAGGAGAAAAAAAGCGTCTAGGGAGTTCAATTACCTGAAACTGCTTTGCCCGAAGTTCAAACGTGGACGGCGAATGGCGAACGTAACCACTGGAGTCTGGTCACGTGCCTCCCAGTCGTGGGCGGTCACACGTATTCTGAAACCAACTTGAATCTAAAACTCCCTAATGATTCATTTCGACTTCGTGACTCACAACCATTATAAAAGGTAGTACTGTAATATTTTATCTACACAGCTACTGCAGTAAACAAATTAACCCACTCCTTATTTTTCTCGAAAGGTGTTTTGTACAGCAACACTTGGATCCCTTCGTTCTGCAAAACAACCTGACGCCGCCGTAGTAGGGGTCGGGTTAGTAAGGATTTGTTGGAGCATTTTGTGTTAAGTTTGCCGATGATAAATTTGCTCTCGATTTTTCTTGATGGTTTCACGAGAAGAAACAAAGCTACCGTCAGCTTTTTTAGGTAACATAAAAGCTACCTGGAGAAAGTTTACAGTATTGCATGCTTTCTGTTCTATTGAATGGACTTGTTCTTCCTTTCAAAATTCGGTAAAATTTTCAAGTGTGATGACAGGTTTCCTTAATAATATTTCGTTTCCTTTTGTTGTGCAGCGACGTCAAAGAAAGACCATTCATGCTTCACTATGAGGTAGGTTGTGTATCGAATTCTGTAATTGCTGAAAGCGCTGGTGTCACCTGGACTGGGGTCTAGATCTTACTACTAACACATCAATACAAAGAAAGCTGTGAACTTATTTCTTAATTGTTGTTTATTTCAGTGTTATGACATTTTTACTCACTAATTACTAATTCACAGCTAACATTTCTTTTGGTTGATTACAAATAGTTTCCACCATTTTGTGTGAATGGAATAGGGTTGATCGGCGGTTCGAGTCGACGAGAAATTGGTCATGGTAAGATAAACATTTTGCATCACTGATTTGTAGAAGGAGACGATATTTGCCTTAAGTATTTAATCGCTTTAATTTAACACTGTGGGTGTTCCCTTTAGATAAACGATAACTGGCTCCATTTGGCGCGAAAATCCGCTAGGAAAACTGAGTTCAAGGACAAATTCCAATAATATTTTCAGATAACATTTTTAATTTGTGAGAAATCAAACAGTTTTGTTCGTTTATTTTAGGTAATTTAGCAGAAATGGCTTTAGAACCAGTTGTTCCCAAGGATTTTCCATTCACCATCCGACTTACATCTCAAGTGTTAGAATCCAATGGTAGGCAAGATAGTCCATCCTCAGATGAGGTTCAACGGGTATCATGTATCATGTATCAGATGCAGTTTTCTTTTTTATTTCTGGCCCGCGATAAAAATCATCGCAGCGGTTTTGTGTTTAACGTCTCTATTTTTTTTTCTTTTTTTAACAGGTTCATCATCTTTAGCATCTGTTTGTGCTGGAAGTTTGGCAATGATGGATGCTGGTAGGTATTTTCTTCAATAATTATCATTGTTATATTTACCGCTATTTAGTTCACAGTTTTTGATCTTCTTCGTTTTCCTTTTCATTGATCTTTATCTTCATCACTGCAGTTTACGCTACTGATAATACCACTGTTATAAGCAAACCTTCTGTTGCTATGATCGTGATCGGCTCGAAAATTATCGTTAACATCGTTATCGTTGCCTTTACAGTTAACGTTATCGCCATCGTTACCATTACGTAGAGTATAATTGTTTTAGCATGCTCTGAAGAAACAACTAAATACTTGCATATGATTATGTGGCACTTTTAACCCTTAAATTACTATTTTTCATATCACAGGGATTCCAATCACTCGTCCTGTTGCAGGAGTTGCCTGTGGTTTGATAACAAGCAGTGATGCAGAGGACCCGGATAAACCAGACATAGAAAATTATTGTCTTCTGACAGATATCTTGGTAAGAAACATAATACGTGTGAGTAAGGGGTTTAAATTGATAAAGTTTACTCAGAACAAGTTTGGAAATGTTTGTTGTCTCACTTTGTTGTAATAACAACACTTATTTCATTAGGGCATCGAAGACTTTATGGGTGATATGGACTTTAAACTTGCCGGAAGCAGAGAAGGAATAACAGCTCTACAGGTAAATTGCCTTCCGTTTACTACCCATCTAATATTATTGTGTTAGATATCAAATTAAGCTTTGGTGACTTGCGCGTTTTGTTTGTGATAGGCTGATTTCAAGGTACCAGGCCTTCCGCTACACATTGTAGAAGAGGCAGTCAAAAAGGCAACTGGTAAGAAGTAGTAGCTAACAGATGAGGAAATAGAATTAACTTAAGCCGGACAAGGAATATTTAGATGTGGAAATACCTAACTGTGATACTTGTGGATGGCAAAGTGAAATCAGGAACCGAACAAACTTCTTTGTGATTTGTGACATTGACAGAGAGCCAATTTCTCCTCTTAAGTTTTTCTTTTGTCCTCGGTAGTTGCACAAATGTCAATCTGATTTTCTAGACAGGACGAGTATTTTTACCTTAGTGTTCCTCTTTGCGACCATCAAATTGCTATTCCCTCCAATTAAAAAATTAATGCTCGTTTTGAAGACGCCTTGGAAGGTTTTCTGGTAGAATTTAAAGGGCAACGCTTGTTAACGTGTCACTTCACTTTCCAGCTGATCGGATGAAAGTTTTGGATTTAATAGAAGAATGCCAAAGCGGTCCGAGAAAAATACCCAAAGACAATCTGCCAGTTCAAGGTGAGCTTTTTTAACTTAACTTTACAGAGATATCGTTTATCATACAACAAACGATCACTTTCATCATTATTAGGTCATCCCCTGACTTGCGTTTTGGGATCCAGCCTGAAAAATAACGATCGTCGAGCTTATCACCTTTCCTTATGTTCTTGCTGTTGATGGAGTTTTATCTTTCTGCTCACGTAGGAAATGTAGTTCTTTCTCGATTACAAGTTAGAAAGCTGTTTTCTGCTGGCGGACTGACAATAAAAAACCTACAGGAAGAGACAGGTTAGTATCAGCTACTAAGTGAAAAAGTAGGAAAGATAATTAATGACTTTCACGTAGCACAGTTCAACAAACGGGACAATTTACTCACATATACTGGTATCCTTTACTTAGCACGAAATGACCGGGAACATGTAGCCAGCGCTCGTTGTACTGTCTGTCTAGGTCTTAGCTTTTGTATTAGGTAATTGAGGTTTGTAAAATATTCTCCCATGTAAGTCATTGAGTACTGACTAACTTAAAAATAAGGTATTCTTACAAATAATTCTTTCTTCACTGGAGAGATGTCTCATGTACGCGAACATTTAGCTCACTTTTAGGGGTATGGAAAATAAATTTAAATCTTCAAGTCGATTATATTTGAAATCATTCTCATTTATCTTTATCTCAAGTGCTAATGACCAATGTAACGTGTTTCTGGTTTAAAGGTTCAATCATTACACGAGTTGAAGATGATGAGTTTCACGTGTTTGCTTATGACGCGAAAGCTTTCCAGGAAGTATTAAACAAGATGAAAGAAATTACTGCCGGTGCCGACACGGAAAAGGTATCACAATCTTTGCTCCAGGGTTAAACTGATTCATCATTTGAACAGGCTGCGTGCATTCAGTCAGATATGTTACTGTTGGTTGTAAAATAACTGACTGATTGCCTCCCGTGTTACCTGGAGTCGTATAAAACAACTTAACGATATACTTGCTACAGGAGGTTGCGCCGGTAAAATGTGCGAACAGGAATCAAAGTTCTGGGTTAAAAAGCTGATTTTTTTTTTCATGTTCAGGAAACCATGGAATTAAATAAAAAAGAAACCTGCTAAACAAGGATCGCAGTACAACACAGTACACTTTCTTACCGAAACTTTGACTAACATTCCGTTACATGAAACCTAAATCGTTCTAACGTGATATCGTAAATTCTCTATTATTTAACGTCTGCAACAGCTTAGAGATTTCCAACTTTATTTCTTCTTCCCTAATTTTCTTTTGTCTCTTATTGCGTTTATTTCCTTCACTAAGCACTGGACAGAATCTCTTGAAGTTGGAGCTACATACAAAGCAACTATTACTGAGTTTAGGTAAGAGAAAACAAACCTTTGAGACCCGTGTCTTTCTGCTTTCATCAACTCGTCAACTGTTCGAACCCATCTCTTTTCATGCTCTGTTGTAACCCAGTTTGCTTTTTTACGCTGAGGCTGCAAAACTTGTGGTGCTTACTTGATATACATACGCGTAAATGTGATCACATGACACCAGTACTCTGAAAACACCACTGGTTACCTATTGATGGGCGCATAGTTAAAATTCTTTTATTGACATGCTTAGCGCCACCAAACCTCTGCGATCTTATAACAAAATATTTGCTCAGATACAATTTAAGATCAGTTATTGGCCATCGTTTGGTTGACGTTGGTAACAAACTTGCCAGATATGGTTCAAGATCATTTTCTGTAACCGCGGCTAAACTCTGGAACGCACCGTCGCTGGAAATCCGTTTAAGCGACAATTTGTAGCAATTCAAGCGCAATCTTAAAATACATCTTTTCAGGAAAGCCTCGTCATGATGATTCATTATTGGTTAGTTAGTTAATTAGTTATTTAGGTAGGTAGTTAGTAAGTTTTTACTCATGAGGTTTTTTTATTCTCAGTTCTTATTGATTTTGACAGCTTAGTTATGTTATTAGTAAGTTTAACTTTCTACGTGAGGTATTTTAAAATCATTGTAAAGTGCTATTGGATAGCGACAGAAAAAGTGCTATTTAAATATAGTATTATTATTATGATTATTTTGTCATTCCAGGGAGTACGGGATTATGGTAGAACTTTTACCGGACACCCCCAGTGTACTTTTACACACTTCAGAAATATCTCACCATAAAGTAAGTCGACGTAACGAAGTAACTGTGACAAGATAGTCTCAATATCACATCGAGTGGTCATAAACTGGACTTACATGTGGCACATATTTTCATTCAGATAGGAAGTGCGGTCTACTGCTTTCATGGTAAAGCCATGGGCCTGCTGTACATAGCCTTTATGGCTGGCGGCCCTTCGTGCCCTTTAAAGCTATGAGCGGAGAATTTTAGCCGCCCGTTTTCACAGGTCCGTCGCCTAACGCTCACAGCACACTCAAAACCACCAGTTACTCAGGCTTATCGTGATACAATAAAAGCCTTGGGTTTGTCCAGTCCAGCATGTGTGGTATTTCAGTTATTTTGCACAATCTTGTATCGAGTGATCATTGATATATGTTCTTCAAAGTTCACCGCTTCATTGAAAGAAAGGTTTTCATAATCTAGGAAAGTTGTTTGGAAATAGTAAAATGAAACCCTCTGAACTAAGTACTTGCTTCTCAGGTTTTATTTTCCCAGTTTTTTCCGCAAGCATTATAGGCTGATTTTTTTACCGACGGATATTTCTTATTAACTTAAAACCTCCTCTGCTGTTGTCTGAGCTTTTTTTCTTTTCTTTTCTTTTCTTTTTTTTCTTCAGAGTCATCAAACAACGAATGAATTTACACTAGGACAAATCGTTGATGTAATGTATCTTGGAAAAGACCCTTTCTCTGGAAAAGTTCGTCTGTCAAGAAAAGCACTTTTGCCGAAGCCGCATAATACCATGGACCACGAAGATTTTGTCGAAAAGTTCCTGAGCCCTTCAAAAAATAAGAGAACTTGATTTGCTTACCAACGCTCTAGTTTAAGAGCTTAAATGAAGATTTTCTTGGTACTGTCAATAAAAATTGTTTTGGAACAGCAGACATCAATCCTAGTTATTTAAGAGAGATTTGGTGCCTGGGTGGGGAATTGTTTCCAAAACCTGGCAGGCACCTGCAAAACTTCCTTTCAAACAAATTGTAAAATGCTCAAAGCAGTCAGGCTGAAGTCCCCCACATAGTGCTGTGAAGTTCATGAGAGTATTAGTATGAAGAAAGCGATATATTAATGCCACATCGCCAATATGGATCCCTGGTTACTGATTACGTGCGTGTTCCCCTTTAATGCTATTAAACTCCAAACTATTCCAGGCTGGTTCAGCTTCAAATACACCTACCTCGTTCGATGCGGAGGGCCAAAGATGACATAAATTCTAAGATAAGACAACAGACAGAATTACATCTTCATTTGTTTTTAACTTAGCTTCTTGCTCTGTGGCGGACCCAAAATTAGACTCGGGAAGCAATTTCTTTAATTGCAGCTCACCAACCAGGGTAGTATCCTCATTCGTATCTAATACATCTTGCAGCATTCGACTTTTAAGGGCAGCACCCCTAACCCCTGGTGGTCTTTGCAAAAAGTTTGAACCACGATTTTAAGAGAGAGTTTGACCTTAAGAAGTTGAGAACGGAAGGTCGCTCTTGAGAGTCGAGCCGATTTGCTGTGTGAACGAGTGGGCAAATTTCGTTAATTTCATAAACCTGACATGTCCAGTGTTTCCACCCCACTGGGGAGCTGAGGTAGCGCCGGGAGGCCACTTGAGCTATTTCAGCCTCCCCTCCACTTCGTAAAAGCGAGAAGGAATGGGCTCGATATTCTATCAAAATGGCGGACGGATTAAAGCGGTGGACAGATAAGGGAACGAATCCGTGTGCTGCAGAATCGGTGGCTTCCTTAAAATGTTTGGAAGAGAATAATTACGATAAGGCAAGATGTGCAAATTATTTTCTAGCATATAAAGAGTGTAAAAGAGCTTGGAACAAAAGGAAGGCAGAAAGAAGAAGACGTGGTCTACCGCCTGGCGACCCAGCCTAGCTTCAAATTTAGCTATTGGTGAATGTGATCTTGGACTTTACCCAAGCATTAATAAATTGAGTTAACTTGAGTGATGGATGTTTCGATATGAAACATTCAAAATATTCTATCTATTCCGTGATGGTGATACTTTGGCGGTAAGGACAATCTGCGTATCACATACACAAATGGAGGTCCGTTGGAAATGCTGATCAAAGGCAGATCATGAGCGTTACCTTTCTCAGGAGGACAGCACAAGCGTGGTCGCTTATCATGGGGACAATAATAAACTGCTGGATAAAGTGCAACTTACTTCTGGGAGCTTTCAAAATGTGGAATTATTTTTTTTTACTCAAGGGAGAGTAAAACTGCTTTTGTTTATCACACTCGAGGAAATATGCAATTCGGGTTCCAAAGAGTTTGTGAAATTTTAAATAAAAGAGATTTGCAATCCTCATGAGTTCTTTTCAGGATGAATTTGACATGGATAACCACACTGTGGTGGCTTGTTAAATTTGTACAGCTGATTTTTAAAGCTTTAGCCCTTGTTAGATAATTTACCTTCCTAACTTCGCTTGGATTAAAGCATGAGTGCTTTACTTACCCCAGTTGCTCCACAACAGTTTCCTTGAGAGCAAATACTTTTGAAGCAAATAATGCAGTTTGATATTCAAAAAATCAAATTAAACTGATTCTGTAAAATTTCCAAAATATGGTCTTTGCTGGAGATGACTTTGTCTCTAACAAAAAATTGTATACATGGGGAGTTTATCATCATATGTTGTTGACAACATATGATGATATGATCACAACTTCACCAGTGACTTGCATAAATTGAAAGTTTTGACGGGTCTGACTATACTTAGTGTCAAATAGAAACCCAATTCTTTTGTTTTGGGGTCAATGTAAATTTTTTCAGGACAACATGATACATTGGAGAACTCCTCAGTTATCTCCATAATGCACATGGCATAAGAGTGCAGTTGGGCAGAAAGGAATGATGGGAGAGCTTTTCTTTCTGCTTTGTCTATACGCATCACACTTTGTGCTTCAGTGCTGCACATCATATGAAAATGATTGGGACTTAGTCAAACTCTCATGTGTAAGGATACATAGGCAGTAAGTGATTATCAAAATCAATTTAAGTTGATTTAAGTCAACTTAATCTTCCTCTCACAAATAATCACAACTATGATTGCTATTCTTTTTTATAATGAGGTACCAGATCTCAGTAGAAAGGTGACAATACATACATTATAACTGAAATGGATCAAAGAAAGAAGTAGTAAACTGAGGAGATAAAAAGAATTTGTTCCCTCTGGGAATTGTACTGAGTTCAAATTGTACTGTATGATTTTTCTTCAAATAATATGTCATCAAGTAACATTTTAACCCTAGTTCCCCTACTCTACGGCCTTACACCTTCCTCACTATTTGGGTGAGATTTATTCGTAAATTCCTCTCGTCATTCGCCCTATTAAGTCACTGTCCTCTTCGCCTTCACTCTTTCAAGCACAACAACATGAGTGTCACGCAATCTCTCTGTGGCTCACTCGAAGCTCTTCTGATCAGCGGCTGCGCTGCAAGGGAGTGCGCACTTCCTCTGTGACACGTACGACGATGTAAACACGGCGGCCAAGCAATACTGAAACTTAACTTACCTTCCCTGCAATTTGCAACTGAAACCAAGTGGCGTGCCTGATATCCTACAACGAAGTGTTACGGTTGGTTTGATTAAATTGGGAAAGTATAAGGAATGCTGATGCACTAATTACGCCAAAGGAAGACGAATTTTTTACGTACTCTTCGAAGTGAAGTAAGCTTACGTATTGAGTAACCTCAGACCAGCAGAGGAATTAATATTCTACAACTTTCAAATCTAAGCCGTGGCTGAAAGACACGAAAAATTTTGTAATTTTAGTTATATTCTACGATTCCTAAACTAATCAAGGGAGTTCTCCACTGAGTTTCTCTTGCTTGTGCGGCTTCGATGCCTTCCTAATTGGAAAGTTATAACCATAAATTGAAGCAGATTAAAGAATTGTTAGCTTGGTTTACTTTCAGGAAACGTATGATACCATTAAAATTACTAGTTTTAAACACCAGTGATGAAGAAAGACAACATCACAATTTACATCACATTTATTGACAATTATACACATTTGTCATTGAAATGCCTTTCAAGCCTTACCACCAGACTTTGATGGAATGTTCCTAGCTAAAATAAATGTATTTGTGAATTTGCTAATTTCTAAAGTACAGACAGGTTTTTTTTATTGTAAAGCTGGGAGGAGGAGTAGTAATACTTAATACTTCTCAATAACTGGTTGCTTGATGCCCTTTTTTTGGTCTATTTTTATCAATATGCTAGATATAAGTCAGTATGTCATGGTTTACTGATCTTGCTGGCAAGGCAGAGTTTCTGCTGGAAAAGGTTGATACTGCTGCAGCTTCAGCACTCACAAAGGACCAGATTAACCAGGACGGGGGTGTATTCGGTAAAAATGTTTTTCCAACAAAACCAGTTGCAAGTTCTGTTTCAACACAGAGACCAATTCCTGCACCGGTTGTCAACCAAGGAGTTGATTTTGCAAAGGCAGCCAGTGAGAGCAGTGTATTAGGTGAGAACTAATAAACTGCTTACATCTATATTCTCTTTGGAAGCTCTATTGTCTGTGGTTAATTTAGCTTCATGTAAATTTACAGTTCCTTTTAGTTGTTCATTTAAAGACAGCAGGATATCTTGCTGTTGAGCACTTTTTGTCATTTCACAACCTCTTGGATGACTTTGACAAACAATATTTGGTGTAAATGATAATAAAGAACATGTGGACCAGTGTCTACTAGCTTTTTGTAAGCACATAGTACATTATTGTGAGCCACAAGGCACATTGTCTTCTCTGTCATGGCTTCAATATTGTCCAGAATAATTTCACTTGAATTGATGTGTTGAAGGCTTTGCTTTGTTTTCTAGGTGGACCTACAGTACCTATCAAGTCTCGGCTACCTTCTTCTGGTTCTAGGACACCCCCAAGGGTAACAAGAACAGAAAACAAAAATGATGATAAATTATTTGAGTTCCTCAATAGCAATGTTCCCACTTCTAAGGAAAGGAAACCTATAAAACCAAAATTGGTGACTGAAACATCATCTGATGAAGTTGTTAAAGCTAATGATACTTCATTGCTGGTTCAGCAAGATGCTCCAGATGGAAGAATTAATGATGGTGAGCATGTTAAAAAGTTAAGTAGTATTTGTTACCCTACATGGTGGGTTAGACCTTGCTATGAAAGGCAATTGGTGCATTGGACAACAGACAAAGCTTTTTTGTTCAAAAGCTGAAAGACTCTATTGTGTACATAAATTCCTGTTCATTAGACGAGTGTCAACAAAACAAAACATGTGATCCAGTTGACAGCATTATTCACCTTTCAAGCAACCTTTTTCTTGTTGTCTTAGTTGAAGCACTAATTGAGATCAGTCTGCTTTTAAATAAGCTTCTTTACTCTTGTGTTAGTAGTTCTATTGCTCAGGGATGCAATAAAGTGCAGTGTTTTATAAAAAACTACAATTAAGAGTTTAAAAAAAGCTAGGAATTAATATTGTATTTGGTTTACCAATGACCAAATTATTGTGAGGGTCTAAGCATACCTTACCTCCTTTGAACAGATGAAAACCTCTGTTTATAGTTAAACTTTTATTGTTATAAAAAAGAGAAACTTTTAAAAATCAATCTGGAAGTGAACCTTGAGCTCATGGATCAGGGATTGTTATTGTGTTTGTTACTAGATGCTATTGGAAAGAATTCAAATACAGGAGAAAAAGACACAAACATATCTGATGGACTGAGACTAGTAGAACCTCAGGCACAAGACATGCCTCAGCATGAAGCTGATCACCGCAGCCAACCTCCTGCTGATGATCGTGTGTCCAACCTTGAATTTGAAAACACACTTCTAAAGAAGGAAGTATCATCACTGAATGAAGAAATGGTTTCTGTGGTGCAAAGGGCTAAGGAAGCTGAAAGGAGTAAGTATTGACACTGAAAAAAAGGAAACTCAAATGAAACCCAGTAAACCTACTAAATTTTCCTGGTTCCTTACCTGTGGCTTCATAGTTGCGTTATTGGTGGCCAGTGCTTGGTCACGAATAGCACCCAACTAGTATTGAGAGTCATTGGTATGCACTTTGTTGAAGTGTAAATTTTTCCTAGCTTTTTTTGCCTGCCATTTCTTCCCTCAAATTACATACAGTTGCTTTGATGTGTGTTTTTGAATCATCGAATTTTGCTCGTGAAAGACTGTTCACAGCTCATTTATCCACATTATCTTAATTCTAAAGTACTTTATAAGGAATTCTGACTACTGGGTAACTTTTACAGTGTAAGTAAGTCTGTATTTTATACTTAGAATGGAAATAAGAAAAAGCTAGCTTTTTTTTTTTTGAATATAAATTGTTCCTATCTGAAAAGTTTCTTGATAACTGTATCACAGGAGTAAAAGAAACAGAGAGACAGCTTCAAAGAAGTCATCAACAGTTGGCAGCTTCTGAGGAAATTTCCAGGCAGTTGAGAGGGAAGGAGGATGATTATACAGAGGCACTTAATGCTAAGGACTCACAGCTGGCTGTGCTCAGGGTCAGGATACAGGAGTCAGACCAGGAACTGAAGACCAAACAGCAGCAAATTGAACAGTACCAGTTAGAGAGAGAGAGGTCTGTTAGTATACAGTACATTTGACAGTTATAATAGTAATGTTATCCACTGCTTTTCGAAATCAGAAACTAAACTATTAATTGGAATGCTTCATTATCCCCAAAGTTCAATCAAGTTTGACACCACACCCTTCACTTTCACTTTTGTCATGTAGATGTTAACCTAGCAAGTTGAACAGAGTTTAACTTGGTTGAATTTTTGTGTTTGTGGTTGGTCCACCTGCAGATGAACTTCACTCAGTAATACTGATTTCATTTGTTAAGTGCCAGTATTTGTCCAATTCACCGCTTGAATTTCAGGCTAAATTTCATTCTTAGGAGTTCTTCTCTGCTCTATATTTTTGGGCATTGTTTTTCTTCTGAAGCCATTGACTGATATATTACTGGTCTAATAAAATTGTTATCTGAACTGGTAAACCTGGGGTCTGTCATGGAAGACCTCATTGTGTCAACATCTGTGGTGCAACACAAGTTTTAGCTTATGAAGCCTCAGGATGATTTTGAAGACTTGTCTTGAAGAGTTCTCATTAAAAGATGGAACCAGGGTGTAAGCACCTGCCTGCCTTCATGTGAGACAGAAAGGAGTTTACTTCTTAGTGTTGTAGTTTTAATTTTCTTAACTGGGTTACTTCCATACTAATGCACTAGCACTTAGATATGTAAGAAAACCCTTGTCTTCTCCTTCAGGCTACTTCAGGATCACTCAGCATCAACTGGTGTTCACAGTCATGCATTGGACACTCTGAAAGCTAAACTGGAAGAAACTGAGAGCAAACTTAAAGCTGAACAGGAATCTCAAAAGAAACTCGAGGTATATGTAATGATAAATACTTCTATAAGACTATAATGCCTGCTTATTTTAGGGCTTGCCAGTATTATGTGAAAGTTTTTAATAGTAAAAAAATGGTCAGGATCTTTGTGTTGCAGTCAAATTTGTTAGTGATCTTGATATTTCTTTAAATTTACTGTTATGTCATATAATTTACTGTTATTATCTGAAGAAGTTAAGCTACATTAATTGATAATATAGTAGATAAATGAATGGCATGGAAACCTGATAATAACTTTAAAGGCTTATAAACTTAGGTTCCCTTTACTTTCATTTTTTTTTTTAAGAAAGAGTCCATGGACAGGCAAACAAAGCTAGAAGAGGGACAAGCAGCCTTGGCCGAGTCACTCAAAACTTTGCAGAAGAGAGTCAATGAAGAGAAGAGTATCCATCAGTTCCATTTAATTTACTTAATAATTTTAAAAAAAATTGAACTAATTTTATGGCCTGGCTTATCAACTGTCTGAAGATGAGCAAAATTAGAACTAGTTGGGGTTCGAGTCTTCTCAGGGGAGGGGAGGGGTACTAAGGTTTTTTTTTTTTCACACTCGTAACAGTTAAGATACTGAGCACGAATGTTTTTATGCCCCTTTTCCTGAATGAACAAAATTTCTTTTGTTCAAGTTGACTCTAGCAAATATATTTTTATCTGTCCTAACTTAAAACGACGATTCAACTAAAAATAACTTGTACGTAGGGATTGAAATGACTTCTTGTAGTGCATAGAATAGTTCCTTACAATTCTTTATTTCCGAACTAGTTATGATTTGGATACATGTTGGAGCTTTTTCTCCTTAGCCATTGAATAGATAAGAACAATGAGAATGCTACAGCACTCAAAACAACAAAAGGAAATCTAGAAACTGCGAAGCAAGAACTGAAGGACTATAAAGATAAAGCAGCCAGAATTCTTCAGGTGACTGGATCATTTTGTTATTATCCAATTGTTTTAACTTCTTATGGAAATAAAACAAATTATGGGTTGTGAACCCTTTACAGTGTTAGTAAGAAAAATCGTTCTACCGTCAGGCTAAAGACAAGGTGATAGCAAGTCTCCGTGATGGAAGCAAAGGTGAAGTTACCAGCGGTGTTACTAGTTCAGAATATGAAGAGGTCTGTCATGAGAGGGACATGTTTAAAGATGAAGTCAATCAGGTCAAGTACAAAATGGAGCAACTCAAGGCTGATTTACAGGTGAATAGTGTTTTTCCTTTTTTTAATCTGCTTTCCGCAATCACAGCTTTGCGCTGGTTAAATTCTCTTAAGTCGTCTCAGACACCTCAACAGTTGGTTTTGTAGTTTTCACGTTTCGCAATGGACAATTTTTGCAAAGAAACTTATTAAAGGATGTCGCGAACGCGGAAAAAAGTCCAAAGAACCCTGACCAAAGACTAGGTGTCCTTGTGCACACTAATGACGTAAAAAGTCTCCATAGGCGCTTCGCGCACGCTCAGTAGTCCGAAGAGTTAGCCATCTTCTCGCTTCAGTCTTCAACCTACCTTCACAGTTAATATCCCACCGTCTCGTGCGAGTCACACTGCGCACGGCTCTCTCAATCAGCACTACTTGTAGACAAGTGTAGTCTGTTCAAATACCATACTTGAATGAGTTGAAACGTTGAATAAGACTGTGCACTAAGTATCTGATCGTTTGAAAAATATTGCCTCATAGGACTTGGAACAGCAGCAACAATCCGAGGCAGATCTTGCTCGAGAGAAAATGGAAGAGTTAGAGAGTGCTCTGGATGACGAAAAAAGAAAAAAAGACGCCTGTGAACAACAAATTCAACAGCATCTCCAAGTACGTGAAAGAGAAATATTCCTAGCCAGTATAAACCTATTTAAAGAACCCACCCATTAATTTCTGTCCGATCTCTTTAGATAAGAGACCACATGATCCCTGTTGCTCAAAAGGTGGATAGCCCCATCCACTGAATAAATCCCCTTCCGACGGATACCAAAACACGTTTGGTGAACACCTATCCGTCGTAATGCCGACTCGGGAAGGTTGAAAATTGTGTTGCGTACAGCAAATCCTCCAGTATTTTGTTCCAGCGTGACCTTTGTTGATGAATAGCTGTAATTTTAGCCATTCAGCAGTTCAGCTGGTATCCCTTTATTTATAAAAAAAGTATCTTTATCCTGTGCATTCAAAATTCGAATGTTTTTCTTTGTTTTCTGTCAGGACCTGCATCAGGCCCAAGATGAGATACGAGGAATTAAAAGCAGCTTTATGAGCCAGTTACAGGTATCTTTCCATCATCGATAACTGTTTTTTTGTTCTCTTCTGAATTCTTATTAATCTCCGTTCAATCTCATTTGGCGTTTTCTTCCAGGAGAGGGAAAATGAAATTCAGAAACTTAGAAATCAGGTTAGTCAAATTTTAATCACAGCGAGTCAAGACTAAGACAAACCTTTTCTCTAGAGCGTCAGTGTCAGTTGATACCTGTGCTGTCAAGCTTTGAATGTGTAATTTTTCTTTGTCGTTATTTTGTCCAAACAAGTTGGAGATTTAATGCCGGCAGTGCTAGGCTTGATTCTGGGTAAGGTCGCTGTTTCCTGACGATGCTGCAGCGTCTTGTAACCGAAATTCGATTATCAATTTATGTTTTTCAGCTTGCAACCAAGGCACTTACGTCTACGAGTGAAGAAGAACTGGGAAACCGAGTCCGAGCGCTGACAGAAAACCTCATTCAGAAACAAACACTGATTGAGGCTCTGAGCACAGAGAAGAACTCCTTGGTTTTACAGTTAGAGCGGCTGGAGGTATGAAAACCTTAAATCCCACTGAATAGATTATACAACAGCTCCCAGTTGGCTTGTTGGCTCAGTTGTTACAGCAGTACACCGGTATAGCAGATGTCAGGAGTTTAACTCCCGTACAAGCCTGGATTTTTTTTTCAGGCTTTATTTTCAATACTGCTCAAGAAGTGTAGAACTGTCACAAATATTGCTCATAAACTATACAAAACCTAGGGTGAATTGTCCTTTTTTAGGGGCGTGGCCAAGGGGGGTTGGTTTTCCTGATGTGCCTCTCACCGGTCTCTTCACTGAGAAAAGTGATAATTTTTAATAACAAAACAACCTATATTATGTTATTTAATATAGTGACTAATCCTGTGTTCTAGTCATCTCGTACTCAGTAGAATAAGAACGTTATTTCTGTAACTAACATGACAAAATACGCATGTTACCTTGGTTTTATTGACTTGACAACCTAATCCAAGATCACCTTCTCCTCCCCCACCCCTTCAAAAAAATTAACCTACTACACCTTCTGATATTATTTTTCGTCAGGTAGGGGGAGGGGAGGGGAGGGGAAGAGGAGGAAAGCGCGTTCTCTGCAATTCGCCTGCTGGGTCGGTTGTTCGGCCCTCATCTACCATGGAAAAACTTGTCATTTATCAAGATTGCTGATAAAATTACAACTTAAGATATCCTTCTGGCTCGTTTTCTCTTTTATTCACTTGTTATTTTCAATCTATAGAAGCAATACAGAGATGTACAGGCATCTACGTCTAAAATGATTGCCGGCTCGTCAGCAACTTATGACGGTTTTGATGACAACGATGAAAATACGCGTAAGTTTACAGCCATGCTAAGTTTCCGTATCACGGCTGGCAGACTTTTTCAAGAGATTAGTCGATAAATAATTTGTTTATGTGCCCGTCAGGAGAGTCTCAGTAGACTGCAAAGACTTGCGGTTATTTTATTGTGCGAGAGGTTTTGGTTCCGATTGCTAGATACATGGGCGTGGTGATGAACTGCCTCACTCGCAGGAAAGGAAATGTTGAAAAAACATTACAAATAATGCTGGGTTCGTCATCGAATCCTTTTTCTCTTTTTGTTTTGTTATGAAAAGTGCCTGATAAAAATTTCTTTTTTTTCCTTTTTTTTTTGTATTTCTCTTGAGTGATGTTTCTATTGTCAAGAACTGAGAGGTTACTACGTTATCAAAAGGTTATGCCGCCCCTTCGGGGTCTTGATGAGGCTTGCTATTCGCTGACGGCCTCCTTTAATTTACATGTGTTTCTTTAAGCCGAAGTGGCCTGCTGATATTAAATTAGGTCATTCTTGAAAGAGAGCGGCGGTTTCCTACGTTACCGCGGTCTGTCTGATATCTTCTGTTCTTATCTATTTTTAGTGTCACGTGTGAGATCAATATCGTCCATTATGCCCTCACAACTTAACGACTCCCGAAAAGTTAAACGAGCTGTTAATGAAATCGACAAGTTCAGGCAAGTCCTACTTTTAGAGAATAGGTGTCCCATCTTAACTCCTCGTGCCAAATGAAATGAGTGAATAAATAATACCCTGTAATCGGGCGTTGTTTTGTACTAAGTATAAGAGCAAAACAAAGAAGCGCCAAAGTTGGTGGGCGCTGGCCTTCGGCTTTCTCTAATATTAGTTTGGCGGACTAAATTTTGAGCCATCAAAATGACCGAGAACCAAATCTCATAGATGATTTCAATGTCCAAAGTATTGGACATCTATTTTTTTTCTCCGCCTTGAAACATTTTAAACGGATGGACGGAAATGAAAGTTACGCATTCGTCTAGCCGTGAAACTTTAGGTGTAGCTACTGCAAATTAAATCAAAGGTCGATTTTTAGTCAGGCCAGAAATGGGATTATTATCATTTCTATTAAGATGTATGAGATCTGTGCGAGGCAAGAAATTAAGGTTGAAATGGCCGGTACTCCCAAACCACAATTGAAATAAGTGATTATATCTTTTTCGGGCTAAGAATGTTGATCCGCTAAATCCTGGGTTGCCAACTTTTAAGCTTGAAATTCCCGATGCCAACTGTGTAGTAGAGACGTTAGATCCATTGAGGTGATGCTTGCAGATAACTTGTACGAAATCTATTTCCTTCTACGTCAATATCCGACTTTGGCCAATACAGTTAGTTATTCCCTTGAGAATGGATCGTTAGGATTTTTGTGTCAGAGAAGCTCTATCTTTTCACCTTTTGTCGGTTCCTTTAAGCTTATTAATTGCCCGAAGTTTTTTGGTTTTTACTTCGTCCTTTTTATTTTATTTTATTTTTCACCATTACAATGTCATTTTTGCCGCACCACTCACTGATAAGCGAAAACAAACTCGTTTTTATTTTCTGAAATGTTGATTGAACCTACACGTTGTCACATCATTTTATCCTTTTTTTCAGTATAAGACTTGGTCTGTTCCTCAGAAGGTATCCCATTGCACGGCTCTTTGTCATCATTTACATGGTAAAGTACTCCTGTCTCTTGTATATAGCATAATCTGTTTCACTCGGCCCGTTCTCCTCTGGACCTTGCCACACAAGTAACTCTAGATCCTTTGTGCGTCGTTTATGGCGCGGTCTTGTCTGTACGTCATCTTCGTTATGAAAGTGGTGTCTAGAAGTGATTTGATGACACATCCATTTACTCGCAGTGATGCTTATCCATATTGAATTAAACACTTAAGTTAAAGTGCAAGTGTATATTTCTGTTTACTCTTGTGAGGTTATTGTGATCAAGGTAAAATTACCTTTATTTGGTGGTCAAACCGATGGAAAAGCTCTCTTTGCGAACATTATTTATCCTAAATAATTTATTTTCATAGATAATTCGGAGTGTGATCATTTATTCCTTACATCACATTTCAATTTCCGGGGGAAAAAAGGCCAACTGGCACTTAACTTCGTTTCTAAAAATGAATTTAAGAAGGACTATTTGCATATTTTTGAATGGGAAACGTTAAAGTTTCGCGTTCTACTTGCCTTCAGTTAAATAACTGCGCCCATTTGCTGAGAGAAAGAACTAGAGGGTTAATTTCGCGAAATATTGGTCTCTGAAGACGATTGTCAAACTTGACACAGTTTGTTGGAGAGTGTTAAGAGTATATCAGCGTTCTCGATTTTACTGAAACCTTTTCCGAAAATTGGTCTCATTTCTATTTAAGTATTTCTAACGTTAATGGATTTTTAAATTATTATTCCCACTCTTTGACGTACTTGAGGAGGCAGTGTCACGGAATCGACAGAGCAGCAGGTGTATTTGGTTGGATAAATGCGGCTTGTTCGCCAAAACTGTTCAAATTACACTTTTAGTTCTTTCTTTTGTTTGTTGATTGATCTCCATGTCGATTCTGGCGGGTGCAACCTAACGACAATTATATTTCTGTTTTCATGTACGAGGCTTTGTGATACATTTTTGTATTATTTTCTGTTGATATTGAAATATATATCTCCTGACGCTTCAGTACCTTAGAAACTTTTCTGTCCTTATTTATTGTTGTATAGGTGTTGCTTCATGTATGGGTCCTGGTTGTTCTTCTCACCTACCAACCCGAGGTTCATACAACCAGTTCAGTTCGTCTGCCTCAACCTCCTAATCTTAACTAGCTCTCAAGCGTCACACGAATAAAGGACACTATTTATTTCGATGATAATCCTGAAAAACTAGCAAGTAATAATCCGGTGGCCGGCTTATTACAAAGGAAACCTTGGACGAATGTGAATAAAAGCCTTCTGAGGAAACAACAATGAGGGTCACGATACTGAAGAGATAGAAAGGTAGAGAACTGTTGATTCAGCACAGATTACTTATATTTAAAAACTTAAAGCTTACCCGGGCAGGTAGTCAGGTCACACTTGGAATAAATTCTGACTTTCTTTTAATTCAGTGTACGAAGATGAATGAAGAGAGACAACTTGTTTTATTGAAATTGGAAAGATAAAGAAGCTTGCAAGGTTGGCTGTGATCAGAATTTCACAGCGTGTACATTGATCACGAAAGAGAGTCTCTATATAAATCAAGTTGCGCCAACAGGTAGACAGTTTACATGTAATAAGTTCTACAAAAACAATCATACCGATCAGATAAGGATTTTTTTTCTAACACAAACATAATTAAAATCTTTTCGAAAAGTAATTCCCAACAGGTCAGCTGAAACTTAACGGGCTAACAATGCACTTAAAATATCTGTTTGTCGACACAACTGGTTGATGCTTGGAACTGTGGCTTCGCTGCAGGATCAAAGCCTTCTTTGATTTGAACTCGCTCAAGGATTTAACCGCAAAATGAGTGGCTGATGAGAGATAGAACGCTCCCATGGAGGAGGAATACAGATTGCGTGAGTTGCACGTGGTGAACTGTTTGACCCCAGCTTTCGTGGCTCGGATAGTGTATTAATTTGTCCCCCTGTTGACCTAGCATTGCGTTCGATTAAATACAATCCCTGTTTTCAATTTAAGTGATATTTCAGAGCATTACAAGCCTGAGAATGCATCAGTGCTCGACACTGACGTTGATCAAAAGTTCCAACTTTCCGCCTCCTCTCGCAGTCTATCAGTTGTGTTGAACTGATAGACAGATCTGAGCCATTCGTGCAGTTTTGCGTCATTCATTATCTCATTAAGAGTTGTGTTTCCTTGCGGTGATATGTCACGACTCGTTGACTCCTTTAATATTCCTACCGATGTGTGTTTCCTCTTGGGAAAGTTTGCTCGCGTCCACCTTGTTGCAGCTCAAAACAGACCTCGTATTGTAATCGTATGTGAAAACAAGGCACGATGAAAATGCTTGATATCCATCAAGGGTTTGAAACACAGGCACAGCTTAATTAGTTCCTTCACTCAAAACCACATCGTTGAGCTGAAAGCAGCAGGAGTGAAACCTTTCAATTATCACAGTCTCCAACATCCGCGACACCATGGTGTTCGATAAGCACTTCTTAAATTGATGACAATAAAATTTGTTATTTTTGCGGTCCTCCAAGGCTTTGATTAGAATAAAACACCTCCCAAACAAAAAGACTGAAAAAGTGTTTGCTACTCCGAATGTCAACTCTATCGTATAAATACAGACGATTGTTAGTCAACCCCGAGCAATTCCTAAGACACATTGTGTGACATAAATAATGGAGCGAGAGTTTGTAGACTGTCTTAACTGTTATATTTTTTTAAACAGCGGAAGAACAGATTGGAGATCCATTGAAATACTTTATTCAAGTTATCCATTTGTGCGGCAATTAGCGTTTTCCGATTCGTTTTCAATACATCTGCGTTGTTAAAACAGTGTTGTGATAACGCCATGGCAGATATGGAAGGTGTGTCAACATCGGTCACGCCCCATGCGATTGAAGAAAAGGAAAAAGAAGCTCATAGTGCAATAAAATGTTACTTATTGCAGGGCGTTACGTTCTTGTTTAGTAATTCTTTTAATAACACACATGCAGGTGACTGTGAAAATGATATGAATGGGTGCGCGCAAACAGTTATTAGTTGCGAATGTTCGAAAATGATTTACAGGACAATCCGAGGTTCCAATAGTCCTAGCCGTGTGTAGGGCGGATTTACGGTACTTGCTGGCTAACTACTTGTTAATGAGTATTAAAACATCGATGCTGCCAGTGAAACCGAACAAGATGAACGAAAGAATAGTTATTGTTCTGCTCAAAATCGTATGCTTGGTAGTCGATTCTCGAGGGAATAATTTTCCCCTTGAAAAGGTGTCGGCTAATTTCAATCAATTTTTTTGTTTTTCATGATCGAAGGGCGTTTCTACGGATCAAACTGGTCTTTGGAAATGTAGTTTGTACTTTGATAAAGAGCTGTGTAAGTCAAGAATGAAATTTTGCTTTTCATGGCGTCGCTCAGCGCTTTATTCAGGTCATCGGGTGGCAATGCCCTAAGCAAGTTCTTTGGTCACCACACTCGCCCTGCCGGCTAGATCCAGTGGTTGTCAACTCCAACGTTATATATATTCTAAAGGAAGTGTGACAGATAACTGGGTGTAAATGGGCTCTAATCGCAATCAAATTGTTCAGTGTTCGGTCAGTAGCTGTCTGGAGTTATTTGATAATGATAATGCTACAGCAAAACAGGCCAAGTGATTGCATCAACCTGTCGGTTTAGATTGAATTGTTTGCAACATCTAGAATGTTCTTCTCGTCAACTCGCCAGTATCTGTTGAGAGATTCTTGTAAACTATGCGTTTAACACTTTTCAAAACAAAAGACTGCATTTTAAATTCCCTTTTTAAATGCAAAAGTGATTTCGTATGCAAAGTGTTTGAAATCAGTAGCTGTGTTCTCAAAAGCACTGTTTTTTTGAGTTTATCACTTGTTGGCATTCAATATTCAAATATTCAGTGTTGCAAAAATATATCCATTTGAGCAAATTTACTCGCTTGTTTCTCTTGCGTCAAAAGACGCAGAAAATATTCATTTATTCTCAATTTTAAAACAAAACACATGGTGACTCCACGAAATATTTCCAATCAAGCGGTGTTCAAACTGATAAAATTATCAACACACACATCTGCTTCTAAGCGCATGCGCAGCCCACCAATATATACATTCCAAATACAACTTGTTTTCAATTGGTGAGCGCTGTGAGTTGCTTGGTAGGTTGTCTTTTCTCTTACCAACCAGTAAGAATGAAAGCAGCTGGCATCTTGCTGACGATAATTTGAATGTGAAAAGACATCTCTATGCGTTTTACGCACCAGAGATCGCTGTTTGAACAAAACTCGGCTCACAATATTCATTGGGCTCTGGCGATTTCGCGGTGTCCGGTCAACAGCCCACGGTCGGAAGGAATCGAAGTTGACTATTGTCTCTAAATTCACACTTATATCATTCACAGATGTAGAGTGCCACTAAACATGTCCTACGCTAAAAGGCTTGCGCTTCATTCGGGCGTAATTTTTGTTACATGGTGCGCTTTTCTACAACAGACCGTGAACGCAACTGAAGGATGCCAGGGTTTAAGAACAGAGTGTAAACCGGGGATTGTTTTGCCTGTATGGGGAGGCAATCCTTCTACAGGAGTAATTGTTGGGCGAGCGTTTGTGTATTTGCTTGCCTTACTGTTTTTGTTTTTGGGCGTTTCAATAATCTCCGATCGCTTCATGTCGGCTATTGAAATAATTACATCGAAGGAGAAGGAAATCAGGGTAACAGACAAGCAAACTGGAAAGGAGCGAATTGTTACTGTGAAAATATGGAACGAGACTGTGTCAAATTTAACTCTCATGGCCCTGGGATCGTCAGCTCCCGAAATTCTGCTATCTGCCATTGAAATTTGTGGAAATAATTTTGACGCTGGAGAGCTCGGTCCGTCGACGATAGTCGGTTCTGCAGCTTTCAACCTATTGATTATCATTGCAGTTTGTGTTTATGTTATTCCTGATGGAGAATGCCGCCGAATCAAACATTTGCGAGTGTTTGCCATCACAGCCTCCACGTCAGTTCTTGCCTATGTTTGGTTGTACATCATACTAGCAGTGTCGTCTAAAGATGAAGTCGAAATATGGGAAGCTCTCCTGACTCTGGCTTTCTTTCCGATTATGGTCATCTCTGCCTACATTGCAGACCGAAGGCTGTTGTTCTACAGAGCACTGAGAAAGGGTAGAAGAAAACAGAAGCGCAGAGGTATGACAGTCATTCAAACAGGCGATTACGATGTTGTTGGAGTTCAAGTAAAGGATGGTTTTATCGACGGAAACGTAGCCGATGGTCGCTACCAACCTGGCGCCGCCGAAGCCGGACAACAGTTTGATGATGACGAGCTTCTCCATGACCTGACGGAGGACAGGCGCGAAAAGGCCATTCAAGCCCTAAAGGACATACGACAGAAACATCCCGACGCCGACCGTGAAACCGTTGAGCGATTACTTGAGCAAGAAAATTTGAAACTTCAACCAAAAAGTCGTGCGTTCTATCGAATCGAAGCCACACGCAAGATGGTCGGCAGCGGAAATGTGTTGAAGATGAAGCACGAAAAACTTGAGAAGGCCAGCAGTTCCTTGGCAGACACTAAGATGGAAATGCAAGATATCGAGTACGAAGACCCACAGGTTGTCAGGGTTAATTTTGACCCCGTCCATTACATTGTTAAAGAAAACTGTGGAAGTGTGTTTATGAACATTTCACGCACTGGCGGTGATCCGAATAACACGGTTTTCGTGGACTTCAGGACAGAGGACGGCACGGCAAAGGCCGGTGAGGACTATGAGAAGACAGAGGGGTCAATCTGTTTCAGGCCTGGAGAAACTTCCAAGACATTCTCAGTCGTAATCGTTGACGACGATATCTTTGAAGAAGACGAGCATTTTTACGTCCATCTGGGAAATGTTCGAGTAGCTGGAGCCGATGGGGATTTGGTTCGCAACAAATATCGAGGTCCTGCAGGAAAAGTTGGTAAAGACGGAGTAGCTACAGTTACCATCCTGGACGATGACTACCCAGGGATATTCACATTTGAGGAAGAGAAGCATCAAGTGACAGAGGCAGATGGAACCATTAACATTAAAGTTATTCGCCACACTGGTGCGCGCGGCACTGTTCGTGTCCCTTACCATACTATGGAGGGAACAGCTAAGGGAGGAGGCGATGATTACGAAGATGCTGTGGGTGAGCTTGAGTTTTCAAACGACGAGACTTGGTAAGCTGCTTTACAATCTTATACTCTTTAATACAACCTAATACACAAGTAAATGTGATCAGCTTTTGTCCTTCTGTACATATTTAATAAGCCGAAAAAATAATTATTACAAAGAGAGGTTGGACATTATTTACTTACAACCAGCTTCGTGCAAGGACTTTGGAGGTTTCACCTCTCTTTTTAGACCAAAAACAAAAATTTTGTTATTATCGCCTACAAAAACCAATTGAAGTGGTCAGAAGCATTTTACGAATCGGTCTTGGATCAATCGCTCGACTACGTTTATGTAGTCCTTACATCGCAACATTCTTCCTCATTTTGTCAAATCTTCTTAAAACGACTACTGTTAATTCGTGTAAATTCATCAAATTTGACTTATGCCGATGATGAAGCCATCTTCGTTTTACATCTATCTGATATATCGCTGACAGATGCCACTGAATTGATTTGTGCAAACAATGAGATAACTTTGACGACACCACGTCCATGTTATGGTTTGTCCGACAACAATTTAACGATCCCTAAGATATTTTTCTTCGCCTTTTCCTGGGCAGGATTTCGAAAAAAAAGCGTTTTGATCGTTCCACTAATAAACAACATATCACCGAATCAATCTTTCCGTGCCATGCCTGTAAAATTTTCAAATCAGCTTCTGTGGATTTTTTTCTCTATTTTTGTATGAGGAGTGTTTTCTACTAAAGAAATTAATATCTTATTCTGAAGGATAATTAGCATCGAATAAAACTGTCACCATATGGTAGTGTGGTAAAAGTTTGTGGAATCCCTGATCTTTGTAAGCGAAACAAAAACACACTTTGCGAAAAACACATTTTCTCAACTTTGGTCACAATGCCGCACCAGTTGGCAAACTCTAATTAGTGCTGTTTTTGTTTTTTGTTGTTGTTGTTGTTTTTTTTTAACTCCAAACCTTCTTATCGTTCTCCATGCCTGACGGTAAGATATTTGAACCAGCCCCAACAAATTGAAAACAATTGCTCTTGTTTCCTGCAACATCACAAGCAATTTGCATATTAATACTCCTGATAAACAGAGGCTATCCCAGGGAATGAGATCTAATGGATGGAAATTTTTATCAAAGCTGTGAAAAGGCTATAAGCAGATAAACGTGTACATAAGTGATCAGAGTTTGTTTTGTACCACTCATATAGGTTTTTCCTTCTCCTCTTCTTAGAGCACAAAGCCTCAGATATCGTAAATATGATCCCCAACAAAAGAACAGTACTAGAAATGCTATGGTAATTTTATGGCCAATTAAGATTTAAAAAGCAGGTTTTATAACACAGGTCTAATTTCAGCTAAAGAATAGCAAGCTCAAGGTGACAAATGAATAATGATTCTCTAATAAACAACCCATGTTAAAAAGCCAATGAGGATGTTTTTATCTTTCTAGACCAATCCTTGTTCAACATCATTTTTAATAATTTGTTCTTAATTATGAGGGGTATGGAATATTTGATTATGGCAGTATTTTCTTTTTCAACACATACACATAGAGTAAGAGTAGGAGTGAGTAAGTAAGGCTTGTTTTAATTTTTAAATTTTGACTTAAAATACCATACAATACACTCAAAGAAGGCCAAAGGCCGAAATGTTGTGCATGAAAAGGCTGGATCAGTCAAGTGTTTATCATCTATGTTTCTGAACAACACTTAATGCACATTTCGGAGAAGATATCTGCTTTCTGTGAATCCTCTTGCTGAGAGCTGTTCATTTGGTAGCCATTTTACCCTCCATAGGTATACACATGTATTTATATACATCTACATTTCTTTCCCAAAACATTGCAATTTGAAAATACATATGAAATATATATACGTTTTCTTTTTCCATTATAAAGGTGTCAAAAGAATAAATTATAGGGACAATTTTTCAAAAAGAAAGTACAATAACTGCATTGATGAACTATGCATCACCTTTTTGATGAGGAAAGAAAGGTACATATATTTTAAATATAGTTTCAAATTGTAATGGTTTTGAAAATGGGTGTCTATATATATATATATGTGTATGTATGTGTGTGTCAATGTGGATGCATGTGTGGTATACTATAAAAATAAATACAGCTATTACTACAAATCACAAAGATGTTTGCAAACATTGGAAAAGAAATCAAAACTTGGCTGATTTGTTTTAATTTTTGAGCAGAATTTAATTTATTACAATTTAATGAATTCAGGAATAAGTTACATTTAAGTTGTTTGCTTTTGCCAAAATTGTTTATCAGTGACTTAAATACATTAGCCCAGAGGATGCCAAGTTACATCAATATTTAACAAGAAAAATAAAAAAAATAGTCAATTAGGTATTCTGGTTATAGATTTTACTTCATATCTTTCATTTGGTTTGTAGATATGTTCTCAGTTTTTCAGATCTTAAGTTCTCACGTTGCTTTGCAACTCCCACATAAACCTATGTTTGTGGTGGTGCTACAACCCGTGAAAAAATCATAATGAATTGCTGGAAATATCACATTTATAAAAGAATCTTTTTGGACTTTACCTTAAGGGTGGCATTTCTTTGTCAGTTTGGGATGTGATACATAACAGGTGTTGATTATTTTTACAACCTTTGAGTAAAGTATTTTTTAAAAATTTTCAAAGACAGCATGCATAATTTTGGATAAAGTTATAAAGACAAAGTCTAATTCTCATTTTAATTTCAAAGACTACATTTCTTCTTTGCCACTGATGATTCACACAAATGCATTATTTTGCAAAGAACAGCAGTAAGAGGTTTTTTGAATAATGCAGAATGTTGAAAAATAAATTTGGAAAGGTTAGGTGGCCTTATCATCTTGGCCTCAGTAGTTTTCCACCTTAGAAAATATTTAATAAGAATTTGGAAAGGGATTTTTTAATGACAGTGTTCACATGAATGTCTAATTACAGTGAAATTCCTGGCTGCAGTAGACATCAGCTTTATCAGCCCTCAGTTTAAAAAAAAATACTGGACAGGTATATCATAATTTGGAATGTACAGATTTTATCCTATATCTAAAATAGTTCTATTGCTATTTGGTATTCTGTGGTGATTTGTAATTAAAGGTGATAAAAATGATAAAAACCCATCTATATGATAGTGGCTAATATTTGTGTGACTGAGATGTTAAAACCTTAACTCTCAAATCAATTTTGTATAGCCTCCTCATTTCCAGTGACTTATGCTAGTACTTCACTACTCCCTGCTCTGATCTGCTTGTCATTGATCAGTTTTGCTCTCACAAGCTGTTGCCAAAGCTATGAGATCACTTAATCAACACTTAGTGTCCTAAAATCATAGTTTTATGTCTTAATTTTACCAGGAAAAACATTGAGATCAATATTATAGACGACGAAGAATATGAAAAGAAAGAAACCTTTTATGTTCTCCTTGGGGAACCAAAGATTGTCAAAGATGAAGATGATGACAGTGGAGCTGGTACTGATGTGGGATATGATCCAGAAAAGGAGCGTCTTGAAGAACTGGGAAAGCCAAGATTAGGTACTAAAGATATTATGTAAAAATAGGGAAAAGAAAAGAGATAATGTGCCATGTTTATAAGAGAACAAAAAGTTTTATATATGCCAGCTAAATTATTGTACACATTAATTAACATCACATCATAAACCCAGTTCTTTCATTACTTAAGATGGTTGCTCAGTTTGTTGCTTGATAAAAACCACACAACTTTGTGTCAATGCTATAAATGAATCTTTTTACTTCTGTATTTATTTCAGGTGATGTACCAAAGGCAGAGGTCACCATATTGGAAAGCAAAGAATTCAAAAACACAGTGGACAAATTGCTGGTCAAAGCCAATCTAGCTCTTGTTGTTGGTACATCCTCCTGGAAGGAACAGTTCACTGATGCTCTGACCGTTAGTGGGAGTGGGGATGATGATGACAGTGATGAACCAACAACACCAACATATGGTGACTACATGATGCACTATCTGACCGTCTTCTGGAAGCTGTTGTTTGCAATTGTTCCTCCCACAGACATCTGGGGTGGATGGGCTTGTTTCATTGCTTCTATTGTAATGATTGGTGTGTTAACAATGGTCATCGGTGACGTAGCCTCACACTTTGGTTGTACCATTGGATTAGCAGACAGTGTTGTTGCCATTACCTTTGTTGCCCTTGGAACAAGTCTTCCAGGTAAAAACATAAAAAAACACTAGCAGCAGTGCTTACACTGAATCTAACTCATAACACAATTGTGACATGTGGTGACCTAGTGACTAACAACTTGGTCTTGTTAAAACTCCTTGTAAGGGTCATTGTGTCGTATTGTGAAACAGTGAGAGCCTCTTTCTAGGAGTGAAAGTGTGTGCAATGAAGAGCTAGATGATGGATGGGAAATGGAGAGTAGGGAGCTCCTGCATCCATAAGTTGTATTTTATCTTGATGCAATAATTTTTAATGACTGTTATGTTGATTTTCCACAGATACATTTGCCAGCAAAGTTGCTGCAGTTGGTGACGAGTATGCAGATTCATCCATTGGTAATGTGACTGGTAGTAATTCTGTCAATGTTTTCCTTGGCCTGGGGGTGGCATGGTCTATTGCAGCAATAGCCAAAGCGGCAAGAGGTGTCAAATTTATAGTTCCTGCTGGTAATCTTGGCTTCTCTGTAGTTATATTCTGTGTTACCGCTGTAACAGCAATTTTTGTTATGATGCTACGTAGAAGTAAAAGAGTTGGGGGAGAATTAGGGGGTGCCAAATCTTATAAACTTCCAACATCACTTTTCTTTTGTTTCCTTTGGATATTTTATATTGTAATGTCTTCTTTACAAACATATTGCCATATCAATGTATCCTTTTAGCTTTTTCCAAATTAAGGAAAAGTGCTTTCTCTGTGTCAACTAACAACAGCAGTAAGGAAGATCTTATAATAATTAAAGGTTCTCAAATATCTTTGATACAAGTATCAGTTTGTATTTTCAAAATGCAATTTTAGAGATAGCTACATATATTTCTGAATTATTACAAGCCATAATGGCTAACAATGATATCAATCATGCAAACCAAAGAATGAGCACCACGCCTAAATATATGTCATATTCAATGCCCTAAGACTTTAGAGATAACTCTCAAGATAAGGAACACCATATTATTACATATCCTGGTTAGCCTCAATAGAATAACATTCTTCTCGCCATTTATTATAAGTATAGTGGGTAAGGAACATGATAAATAATAACAATCACCCAGATATTGACAGAAAAAGCAATTTCCTGTACACCCTTTTTGAACGCTGTAACACGAATATGCAACTTTTCGTATCTGGCCTAGGGTATTTTAGTTTTCCAGTCTCTGTGTCAAACTCTTACTTGGCCCAGAAATTATATCTAAGACATTTTTCTCTTTCTGCACATCTTGTCTCTTTTTTGGAATTCGGGTTTTGCATGATGATAAATGTTAATGAAAATCAATTCAAGCAGTCTCTACCATTGTGAAGGATGAGGAAGACAAATGTTGAGATGTTACCTTGTCTTATTGTATGCCTGTTACATGTATCTTCCTTCACAGCCTGGCAAACAGTGATGTGATAGTGACTGTGCAGTGAGGTACTAATTTATACAAAATTTTCAGTTTATAACATCAGCTACCTAAATACTTTATTTTTATTTATTATTTTAGCCTTTTCAACTTCTTGAAATAATATTTGTCATGAATAATTGAAATTATAATGATAATAATGATCATTACTATTACTATTATTGTTATTATTATTATTATTATTATTATTATTATTCAACATTCAACATAGTTTGGCATTTATGGTGTTATCAGGTATCAGTATTTTATGCTCAGAGGCATGGTATTTTATAATGAAGAAAAATGTTTTCAATGTAAAATAGGGCAGGCCCCAAGCATTCCTATAGAGTATGAATAGCAAACCTGAAATAAAATTTAAGAGATTTCAGATTCAAGAAACTTCTCAATTAATAATGATAATTCTCAGGTCCTAGGTTGTATATAAAATTTTGTCAACCTATATGGTAGCATAGCTGCAATACTTATCAAGCATAATGTGGAATGAATAGTCAATCAATACATCAAAGTTGGTGATAAATTACAGCAACTGTTTCTTTGCAGGCTTAAAGCTTTATTAATTTTGACATGCTCACAATAGTTCTGACCTAATAATGACAGTATCCAGCTGCTGTCTTTGGTTTGTTTTTCTACATAATCCAAATAACCTTAGCAGATGCAAGCACAGAAAAGTTCTCAAGTTATCATTCATAAAACACCATTTCATAACAATGAGTAACTCTACAAGAAAACCTAAATGATTTAATTGTCAATGTTTTGTATTTACACAGAAGTAGTCAGAGGTCTAAATAGTATTTATGTTATAATGACCAAAGAACAAATAGTTTCCACAAACAAAATGATAGACAGTGTATCCCTTGAGGTGTCCAAGTAACACACAGAGAATGAACCAGATCAGTCAGAAATGATAAGAATAAATGAAATAATCAGTTCCTTCCATCTCCTTTACAGCAGCATTCAGCACTGTAAGGAATTTGTCTTTAAAAGAGTCAGTCTTATGATTCCTACTAAAATGTTAATTATGCAGAGAAGATAAGGCCTGAAAATCTATCAGGACTGCACTTACTGCTGGTTCACTAGAGATCTTCATGCCTGATGCAAGATAATTCAGTTTGGGGAGATTTGATTAATCCTATAATTTTCAATTGGTTTCTGGATTGTTACTATGGACAACAATTTATCGTGATGTACTGTTTTCAAGGGATGATGGAAAGCATTATTAGGAAGAACTCTTGAAATTGATAATATTTATGCCAAATAGCTGCAGGAATTTTTGTACCATAAAGTAAGATGTTTCCTTCCTAAATAACTTTTGAATTTACAATGAGCCTTTGGATGCCTCTTGACTATTAGTAACTGGCCATAGCAAGCTAATGATGGAAAATAAGTGAGATACAGCTATTTCTTATGTGAGTTTATTTCAAATTTTACAAACAACTTATCTAATAGTTGCAAAAGAGTGTGAATGAGAAGGTAAGGCTTGCCATAGGTATGAATATTATTATCATAATTACTCTTTTTAAAGTTACTATGTTTCTTTGACCATTCCAAATAATAATATGTGCATATGTTTTAGGAAACCTCCCTCCAAATTACTGGTCAAAATTTAGTTTACTTTCCCTTTATTATTTGCTAGTATTTCTTGGGTAAATTTATGACACCAAGGACCTGTCAATTTTGCAGGTACTCATATTTAGGAGGTATCCACAGTCTAAAATTGTTCAGCATTCAATGCATGTTTTGGTGCAGGCCAAAAAAACCAAAAGGGAAGGACAATCACAATTCTAAAATATTTGCAATTAGGTGTATAAATATATGTCATTCTGCAGTTTGGCTTAGTAAAAATGCTAGTGTATTATGTAGTGAATTGCAACTATTATAACTTACAGCAATTATTATTTTCTATCATAGGTATTTGAAAATATAATTTATTTCATTTAAGTCATGTTGTGGCCTAAGGACACCTATTTTAATGTGAAAGCCCTTCCAAACATTTTACAGCAACATTAATAGAAGCCTTTGCTGAAATACTTAAGTAAATGGTGTCTTGTTAGAAAGATTATAGAAACAAGACTAAAGGCCCTTTTATGATGACTTTTACTTTATAGGGAGTAGTTTAGGGAAAAAGAGAATTTTTAAAGCCTCTTTCGGACATTACTAATGTTCCTGAAAACTATTATATGAGAGCTTAAAATAAACATGTTGAGAGATGTCTGGTGTTGTTGGGTTTGTTTTCTGAAACAGGGTGGTAGACTGTGCCACTTAAATTGTTCCCTGCTTGTAATTTCCCTTATTTCAGTGGAGAAACCTAAGTCTCCAACACCAACCCCACTGAAACCTCCATGGGAGGGGACATATTAAACAGGCATAACACTGGAGTGATGTCTTGATGCTGGCGAATTGGATGTTGAATTCACATACCGGTATCAATCATCCAAATTTCAAATTTTATTGTACATCCTTGTCTACCACAAACTACCAAAGCTAAATATCTGGATTACTGATAACATCAGCCACGCAGAATGGTGTATGTAAATGAACTGTACATCATGCACTGGAATCAGACTGTTATGTATGCACTCTCCACTTATATTACATGAACAGTATCCTCCAAAGTTACTTCACTAAAGGAAAACCATCTCACTCACCTATCATGATATAAGTATTGGCCGGGGGCGCCGAATCCTGGTTCAACAAAAATCAACGACGAAGCAAGCCTCTATACTCACGAGAAGAAAAGATGGTTATTCATTTGCCCGCCAATTATCCATCCTCGATCTTTCCATTAACTCTCAAGAGTCCCTAGGTACTTTAATTTAGAATGCAAAACGCTTCGTAACTTTTAGAGAGCCTTCCACTCATTTAAAGCCGGGCACACCACGGATCCCTCGCTCTTCCTCAGAGCGAAGAGCCCGCAATAACCTTTAAGCAGCAGTGGATCTCTATATCGCGCTATTTCCGGCGCACACATTAACGTAGAATTTCTCTTTTTCCCAAAATCATTTTTATCGTTTTACTCGCGGAGATCAAAAGGGAATATGACCATAGTCATTGTTGTTCCGGCTTACCCTGACCAGTGACCCAGCAGTTCAAAAGAAATACCTCTCTAAGGAAGATGGAAGTGCTAAACCGGCCGAAAAGGAGCCGGGAGGGGTTACATGTAACGTTTATAAAACGCACCTCGACGAAACCAAACTGGCACGCCAACAGGAGAGACGTGCTGCTTCTGGGCCTTTCAGAAGTCTAACAGGGGAATAAAGTGTTGTCAACAACTCAAGACTGACATGCAGGTTCTAATCTAGAGACCAGGAAAAAGGGAAAACAGCTCTTGCCAACAGCGCTAGCCGCGATAACCATGCACGCTTGTAAATTTTCTCGGTAATTATTTACTTACCGCGTTTAGAGATTCCAGGGAGTAACCTGGCTAATGAAAAATTGTCTTAAAAAGCTACGAAAATCGCCAACGAATGCCACCATTTTCAGTGGCGGATCAAGACCTTGAGCTAAAAGGGGGGGAAGTGGAGGGGGGGTTGACTTTTTTTGTCGGTTGCTCTGCCGGCTTTTCTCCCTTCGGCGATTCTTTTTCTTCTTTCCGCCCAAAATAAGGGGGAAGGGGGGCCCTTCCCTAGATCCGCCACTGATTTTGAAAGTACCTGGCCGCACAAACAGCTTTGGTTGCGTGCCTTTCCGCTTTTGTTTCACCCGCCCTCCCGTTCCAAATCCTGTCCTAGTAATAATTATCTGGAAATCACTTTTCTTCTGTTGATCAATAGAGTAGGTCAATGTGCAGTGCTAACGCTCGATCTGTTTATTATTACTGCTTCAGGTTTTGCCTTGAGAAACTCTTTCATCCCCCATTTCACCTCCAATGTCAACTTACATTACAATAATAAATTCCCTCAGTGTTGGGGTGCTGAAGGCAAGGAGAATATTGAAGTTTTCTTTTTTCTACTGAACTTCAATTTGGCACCAGAAATTATATCTAAGACATTTTTCTCTTTCTGCACATCTTGTCTCTTTTTTGGAATTCGGGTTTTGCATGATGATAAACGTTAATGAAAATCAATTCAAGCAGTCTCTACCATTGTGAAGGATGAGGAAGACAAGCTTAAAAGGAAAACCAATTATAATTTTTTGGATTGGTGAGAAATATTTTAAGGACCAATTTACTCCAGGGTTGCAACTCTTTGAGCCCCACCATCCCCTCCCTTCTAAAAGGAGAGTAAGACCACCAGCAATTTACTCACAACAACTTGTAGGGTTATTGCTGCAATTAGTGTAAATGTAAGGATAGCATGAGTAATTTTTATGTCCAAGAAGAATTTTAGGGGGAACTACATTTTGAACACAATTTATGTCAACTACAAAACAAAAAGACCCTCCACACAAAGGCACATTAATACTAAACAGTCTGGTAAACTGGGTTTGTATACAACTATGCAGGCTGTATTTGTAATAATTTTATGTGAAGCACAACAAACTGTGTCGCTGTTATTTTATAATAATATTCATGATGTAGGAGAGGAGAGTTTGAATAGAGAAAATAGAGCTCTTTCAAGTTATTCTTGCTTTCTTTTGGCAACAATTATTATTGTGCCCTTCCATGTGATTTTCAGATGTTATGTATCCTTATTTGTTACAGTTTCCTTGTGTAAGAAATCTAAATAAGTTAAGGAAATGCTACTTTAAGTGAGATCTGGCTCCTCATTCATTCCTTTTTTGATTCGTAAAAGCATTGTAGTCAGCCACTGATCTATTCTTGATATACTATCATATTCCTTGACCTGTCCAGGAGAGAGGAAGGGACAAAAATCATGATATTAGTACAGGTGTATAACTGCCATGTTTGATTTAGGGTTAGAGAGGACACAGAGAGGAGGGACAGGACCTTTTCACCCCCTCCCCCCTCCCCCACTCCAGTTTATCTAGACTACCAAACACTCCCTTCTCCAAACTTACCCTGCTTTAAAATTCAAGATGGGAGCCAAATTTTTCACAAAAATACCCTAAGTGCATGCTATGCAAAAAATACCCTTCCTTTACAGACTCCTACTCAATGAATCAATTTCTGATTATGTATCAGGTATTTGGTTTACATAATTTACATAAACTGAGCAACTCACAGCTTCAGTGAAGGACTCTGCATTTTGCTCTTCTTGGGCAACAAGGAGATTCTGAACATTAAAAGAAAACATTTAAGTACCATAATGAAACCAATGAACTTCACATACATAGAATGTTATTTAGCTTGATTTAATGATTCAGGATGTATCAGAAAATCAGTTGATAAATAATTACCTTCAACAGTTTACATTCTCTTGTGTCCTCAAATGCTGGGTACATATTGCAGTATTTTCCCACTGCCCTCTGAGCCTCCACAACATCAATACACATTTGACACAGAGCTGCCTTAAAGAAGTACTCTTTGGCACTATATTTCAGCAGTGAACTTTCAATGGCATCAGCGGCAACCTGAAAGATCATATCAGATTGCCTTTAAGACAGACAACAAGGTTCTCATGTATTTTTCATCTAGAATATAGTTTGCAAGTCAAATAGTTTCAGTCTATAAGACCATCAAAATTTTGTTTGAAAACTAATCAAGTTTACAACAATTTTTTCAAAGATTCATACATTGCTGAACATATCTTTGAAAGCCTTTATCAATTGAAAATAATTATTCCTATTAGAGAGTATATTTAGCCAGGATATAAATAGAGTTTCTGAGAATGCCAGGAAAGGAGATGGGATTGATTCCTGAAATGTAAAATCTCAAAAAAACAAAGAAGGTTCCATGAAGCGTTGAATAAGAAAGTATTTAAACTATCCCATTAAAAAATTGAATTATTAGGTATTGATTATCAAATTTATAATTGTACCATCAACACTCTAGAGATAAACAAACTATGCTGAAATCTTAGAGTTTGAGTATAGATCTGGTAAATTAATTTTCAAATTGTACAATTTGGTTTATAAGGCCTAATGAAAACTTTTGATGCACATAATTTCCAAATTGCTGGTATACAGTCAGGTACTTGTCAAAATGCAAACCTGTTCATAAATCTCAATAGCCTTTCCATATTCCTCCATCTGGGCTGAAAATGTTGCAACTTTTAGTAAGCACTTGTTTGCTGAGCTGAAGATGATAGAAGAAAAAGAAAAAATGAAAAGACTGTAAAATGATATTGTAATTTTGTGAGTCCATTTATTAACTTTAGGTTCTTGGTTAGTTCCCCTTTAGTCTCCTTTATCCACAAGAAAATGTTTGTTTTTATTGGTAAAATGCTATTCTCAAACATGCACTGAATACCGTATTTATTTGATTAAATGCCACCCAAGAATAAACACTGCATTTTAGAGCAGAAATATTAATAAACACTGCCCTTGAATAAATGGCACATCATCATGAGGTGTTTATTCAATTAATAGACTCAAGAAGCACACAGCAATCATTGCTTTGATCACAGTTGGAAATTTAGAGTGAACCAGACACAAATCCTTTTTAATGTACCAGTTCTGATGTTGAGGTAAGATATCTGACATAAGATCTTTATTCACTTTATTTATTGCAGTAGTATTTACATGCAAATTGTAAAATTGAAAACAATATAAAAATGACTTTTAAGAAAAGCACTAAAACATGTTTCTATTTTCTTAAATTAAAATGATCAGTTACCATAGTATTGTTTGGATTTTAAATAAATAATAAATGCCACATTCGAACCACCAAAAATTTAATAAACACTTCTGGGTGTAATGAAATAAATATGGTAAGAGTGCTCTGGAAGAAACCTACACAAGACCTAAAAGAAATGATTCCCAGTTCCTAAGTTTATGATGGATCACTCACAGCACACTGAACATGGTCACTATTCCTTCTCCGAGTCACAAGAAAAAGAAGTTTCTTTGGTTCTTCTTATGTTATAAATTAGTTTTAATTAAGAATTCCTCATGTAAGTTAACTTTTACGACGTATTAAAAGAAGGAGTAGTGGTTTCACCTGGTTGATTCTTCACCTCTGTAATACTGTGCAGCTTGCTCATAGTGGAATATAGCCTAAAAAAATAAAATATAAAAAGTGACATGCCTTTGATCCATCAAGTACAAAGCTATTATGATACTTCTACTGACATAAACTAATTTTAAAATCCTTGTATGATTTCAGTCAGTGTGCTATTCAGTTCCAAATTTCCATGGTGGCCAATGCACTAGTTTCTGGAAATATACAAATCCAATCAAAGAAGGCTGATGGAAGTTTGATGAGAGAGGTGTTTCATCCTTGCTTATCAGACAGCATGTCACCTACAAGAAGAGTATTTTGCTGTTTGTTACCTTTTCCAAGTCAACAGCATTGCTCTCATACATCTCAGCTACTGTAATGTGATGTTTTGCAGCCATTGTAAAACGACCCTTATCGAGGAAACATATAAAAACAATACAAAATGTAATAAAAGAATGAAACATGTGAGTGAAGGTTGACCTTATACTTAAACAGTGCCCCTCAAAATCATCTACACTCTAAAGTTTAACATCCAACTTGGGGTTTTCTTTCATGCTGCCCTCAGTCATACCAATGAAAAAATGGATAGAGTTGGTCATTCATATCAAAGGAAAACATGTCTTTGAGTCCCGTAATGAATAAATCATACTTGTCTCTTAAGGGTTTGAGATGTAATGAACAGCAGCAAACATGTTTGAGGCATTTCGAATGTACCTTCCCTGCAATTTACAAGTTAACCAAAGGTTTAAATAGAATAAAGAGTTGAATGAAAAGATTTTACCATATCGGTATAAATGTTGATAGCCATTTCAAAAGCTCTCACAGCCTCTGCAAAAAAACAGTAAGTAAAACAATCAGATTAGAGATCAAACTCTACTTGATATCCAGTGACAACCTCCCTTGAGAACCATCCACTCAGCATATATCCCTCCAATAAAGGAGTGTTCTTACAACCTTTGTACAAGTGTGTGCACCCAAAACTCAATACTACACATTTTATGTCTTCTTTTGTAAGTAAGATATTTTTTTCTTTAAATATAATTTAGTCCAGGTGATTAGCAAGCCAATTTTTGGCCCATCTCTCAGCTACTTAAGGAAATTTCTAGAATTCTTGTTACACAGAATATGAAATTTTATATTATTCCAAACACAGACTTCTTTTAGTGAATATTCTTAATTTTGCTGACAGTGTCCATCATTTTCATTTAGAAACGTGTTTGCAGGGAATTAGTGTAGAGTATAAGAATTATGTTCTCCATGGTGGAAGGAAGCTCAGGTCATCAAACTCTAGCTAGAGAAATTCTTCTTAGTTGCCAGATAATTGCCTTATCTAAAATGCCAAATGACCATCCTGCAATTTAAACCAGTGTATATTCCAAGTTAACCACAAAATTTATCAAACAGTTCAAAGATCATACCTTCTACATCTGTTTTCTTAAAACAGTTCCCAGCATCAACATAACGCTGACCTGCCTCATGTTTGGACTGTAAATTGATTTGTAGTTTGGCTGCCTCCATAAATGCTTTCCCAGCAGCTGTTTAGTTTAAAAAGCAAAAACAAAAACAAAAACAATAATTCTAAATAGTTTTGAAAAGTTGTGTAATTCAGAAGCAGAGCACACCTTTGTCAAGTACTTGCTATAGAGGACATCAAATCCTTCCCTACATCAACATACTTTAAGTTAAAAGTATTTTTTCTTTTGGTCACAGAGGCAAACCACTCACAAAACTGATGTCAAAATCATCCAAGACCTGGTTGATCATCAATCATGGCTGCTTCAAATTGGCTGGTCAATGATTCACTAGAAATATTATACCCTTTGACCATAGCAGAAATGGATCATTACCCTACGCCACATCATGAGTGTTGTGAGAAGGCTTGTTCCATGTATATGATTGAAAAATTTGTTTCTTTCTTAAGAGAACCAAATCAACTGATTCGTTGTTTGCTGTTAACCTAGTTACTCCAGAGGAATTTAGACTAGAAATTTCTTACATACCAAATAATAAATCTCATGGCTTATACTTGTGTCCAACACAGATATTAAAGTGCTCTTCAAATCTTATAAGTGGCATTCTGGCGGATATTCTAAAGACATCTATTTCAACTGGAGTTTATCCCTCTGAGCAATGGCAAAGATTATTCCAATTTTCAAACAAGATGATAATACTGACATTAACAATTATAGGCCAATTGTTCTACTTCTTTAATTTCAACAGGATATTTGAAAAAATAGTGTTTAAAAGAATGGAGTCTTTTATTGAACAGAAGAACCTGCTCACTCCATCCCAATATGGCTTTCGCAAGGCACATTCTACTCAGCATGCAATCCTAGATATTGTGAATGCAATACAGACAAATATGAACAACTGTTTATTCTCATCCGGGATTTTCATTGACCTGAAAAAGGCTTTTGATACTGTAGATCACGAAATTCTTTTGCACAAGTTAGATCACTATGGTTTTTGCGGCAGTATAAATATCTGGTTTTCTTCCTACTTGCAAGGGAAAACTCAAACAACTCAAATTCGTCCTCATATTTCTGAAAGGTTAGATTCTACCTGAGGAGTGCCTCAGGGTTCTGTTCTAGGCCCACAGCTTTTTTTGCTATATATCAATGACATACAGGAATCATCAGATAAGCTTAGTTTTTACCTTTTTTTAGAGGATATAAATATCCTTTTTACTGATAAAAATCTGAAATCTTTGGAACTCTAAATAAATCAAGAACTTAACAAAGTATATGATTGGTTAACTGCAAACAAATTGACCTTGAATATTAAAAAAAGTAATTTGCCCTGCCCAAAGGAAACTTTCTTATCAACCTTAAATCGTGATATTTGATAACAAACAAGAACAAGAAGGTGGCTCTGGAGCATAAAGATTATGACAAATATCTCGGGATTTTAATTGATAAAAATTTGTTTTGGAAACACCATATTGACCATATAATCATTAAAGCAAGAAGAACTGTAGGATTAATTGTAAAATTACAACACTACCTGCCAGCACATACCTTCTTAAATATATACCAAGCTCTTATAGCTCCTTACTTAACATACGGTCTGACAGTACGGGGTCAGGCTTGTAAATCTTACCTTGACAAGCTCCTAAAGTTACAGAAATGAGCTCTTTGCTTTATCTACTTTTCTGATCATAATGAGCATGCAATTCCTTTATTTGTTGACACTCATATCTTAATGCTAAAATTTGTTTATTATGAATCTATAGCTAATTTGATGTTTGACGTTTGAAACAGAACAGCCCCATCCAATATTCAAGATCTATTTCAAGATATATCTAAAGTTCATTCTTACAATACACGTTCTTCTGCCTCTAATGACTTCTATACCAAACCTTCTAGGCTATCTGTTCAAGTGAATTCCTTCTCTCGAATAGGAGTAAAAGTGTGGAATGCAATACCTCAAGCATTAAGAAATCTTTCCAAAAATGCATTTAAAAGAAAACTCAAACAAATTTTATTCAACATATTAGGTTCACAAGACTCTTATATAGATTCATCTGAAATTATACAAAAAGTAAAATACTTCTCCTGATCTTTCCTGACTATTTTATAAACAGTAACTGTACCTTTAATATTTTAAATTAGGTCAATGTAATGGTTTTTCTTGTTGTTATTCAATACTGTCTCTTTCCCTTCTACTTTATTAGTTAATTTCTGTTTTTAACATATTTTTGTAATTCAGCTATTAAGGTAATGGGCAGGCAATGGAGGACAGAAAGTGAAATGATGGTCAACTAACTCTAACTGTTAGACAGTGACTGTTATTATGTTCCATCAGCCACTTGACAACTCCACCAAAACATTCACAAACCATACCATACCATGCAAGTGTCTGTTGAAAAAAAGCCCCCATAAATGGACTTTCCATCCACTCTCACGAGCAATTGACTGTTGACTGAGGCTTTGTACAGAGCATGCAATGCCTTCATCCCACCCCCTTATTATTCAGATCATGGGAGGGGAGGGATAACTACACACCCTTGATGGTGTAGGTTGACTAAATATACTGTCACTCGTGGTATACATTCAAAAATCTACAATCAATTCTATTCAGTTACGTTCATTAACTGTAACAGTTGTATCAATCATTTGATTAACTGGCAAGGTACATACCACTCCATTTTTGTGCCATTTTAAACATGTTGCCAGCACTAATATACATCTCCGTGGCTTCTTCGAGCTTTGAAGTACCCCTAGAAAAACCGAGAAAAATTTCGTCCGTTCAGCTGACATGTAACTTCAAATCTCTACCTGAGATCGTCAAATTATGTGTCTAGATGCAACTGAATTCGGCAGTTACTCACTAAAACTTACCCAAATAATCCACCCAAAAAACCCTGTGACGATTTCACTTTCTTCTCAGCCTGAGTAATAAGATCGATTGCTTTCTCTTCGTTAGACATACTGTCACTGAGAGTTTTTTAAGTAGTACGTTGGTAAGATAAAGACATCTATTCACAAAGTTCTCTGTGAAAAACTCACTAACTTCCCACTTCCCGTGATCGTCGCCTTTCTAGTTGACGTCAATAGCATTCTTCGTCCGGAAAACACTGGGGAGAGAGAGAGAGTATTTCCCAGCATGCATCCTAAAACTTATAAAATTCAAGATGGCGGATAAAATCGCGCGGGAAACGATAATTTTTTGAGAGAGATATTTTGGCGTATATCTATATTTCAAAGCGATAGTAGTCAGCGTCAGGCATAACCAACAGTTAATTTCATTATTATTGACAAAATGGGGGTAGGTTATGCCTCAGAAATTTCTGAGATCAGAGTTTCTAAGGCTGAAGTATGTGCTCCGCAATCGGAAGGCTTTTTTATTTTTAAACCTTTTTTTTTTCTTTCTGTGTTTCATGTCCGCAGAAGAAATCTAGCAAAGGTAAAGAGAAGAAGCTAAAAAGGAAGGAGGTAAGTTCAGAAATATTTCTTTGCAAGTCGAACCTCATAATCAGGATCCACTTTAAACCCTCTTTAACCTGCGATCGAGAAACCCATCAAGGACATAGTTAAGTACTATTATAGAATGCAACATCTTCTTTATCCAGACAAAATGTTTTTTTTTAGCTCATGGGGAAGGTTTTAATACCGGTAATAGTGTTTACAGTTGGGGTTTTCTTCTTCTTCATCAACACTCCATTACTTCATATTAAGGTTGTCACATGGTTTTATCGTTGTGGCGGGGAGCGATGAACAACTTTAAGTATCTTTGATTTGGGTTTTACAGGAAATGCATGTTGTCCACTCAATTAGATTAAATTATATCTTGTGACTAAGCACAATATACTAAATAATTAGATAATCCTGTTAAGAAAGACATTTTACATTTTGTTTTAAGGAAATGGCCAAAGTTAATGCTGCCCAAGCTGTTATTGATGTTGCTAATGAGGTAATTGTGATATCTAGTGAAACTGATATTTGTGAAGAAGTAATTGTAAGGAATTAAGTGAAATTAACTGAACAACATCATAAAAATATTAGATAAGAATCTTACCATTTTGAAAGAAGTGATCACCTGATTTACTTGAATCATGGGTTGAATTCTTATAAATCCTTAAATATAAGGTATATAACGTTTTTATTTGTTCAGGTGAAAGATCCTTTGGCATCTCTAACTGCCTTCAAGACATTCAAACGAAATGGGTGAGCTCTATGTGGATATGACATGGAAAAATGGAACATTTAAACTTCATTAAATATAGGGGAAGACAAAGGCTCAGAAAATATTGATTTGCATTGCATTGAAAATTAGACATGGCTAAATATAAGTCTGGGTAAGAATCAAGACAGTGAGGTGTCATGTTATAGGCACAGCTAGGAAAATCTTATAATATGACAGGGACTGTTGGGTTTTATAGCTTCCCTACACACCTCAAGTCATTTTTTGTCAATGTGTTTTTTTCTTGATGGGCATGCTGGTATGTTGCTATTCCACTTACCTTCCAACCCTCTGGTGAGTGTGGGATAAGAAGGTGTAGTCTTCTTTTGGTTTGCAGTCCAACAATCCTGGCTGGCTGGATGCCTTTCATGTGGTTTTCATAGTCTCCTGCTGAACCTTGATACAGTTTTCTCTCCTTCAACACCAAACACCACCCTATGTTCTTGTATTGTTGACAAGTTTAATATGCTTTGGGTGACATCCCACACTTTTAGAGGGGGAAAAAACCAATATTGAAAAAGTGTTTTAACTTTCTTATACATTTTGTTAGGTTGGATCTCTGCCTTGAGTGCAAGCGACTACAAGACATGTCTACTGAGGATATCAACTGGGCATTTGACCTCACAAAACACAACATGCAGTTACTGTAAGTGTTTTTACAAATTTTGAAACTCAGGTTATTCATTAATGTGGGTCTATTGCTTGAAAATTGTTATCTTTCATAGATCTTGTAATCATTTTGATTCTTCTGAAAACTACAGTTATGAGAATAGCAGCTGGGGATGGAATGACAAAAGGAAGAGAGATGAAATGACGGAAGATAAAGCTCGGTAACTAGAGACAAAGCCCTTGAGTGTTGTTCATCCTTAGCCATGTATTTGATAGATACAGCTACCCATGATTTTGGCTGAGTGTTCTTTTGGTCTCTAGATATTTGATTGCCAGAGAAGAATCTGGAAAAGCTGTGGCATTCTCACATTTTAGGTTTGACTTGGAGGAGGGAGACGAAGTGCTTTACTGGTAAGTTTAACTTTGATATAATTGATGAAGAATGCCCTTAAAAACATGAATTTGAAAACAAGTTGATTATTCATTTTTGTGGATATGCAGTATCATTTGTCCTTTGTCTTGTAATGTGGTCACTTGCATTATAGATTACAATATTTGACTGCATTCTGTCATTCTTCTTGATGCAATAATTTTGACCAAATATACATCATCATCATCATCATCATCCAGATCATTAACATATCTTGGAAATGCATGATCACAGTTTTTAAATACAAGCCAATCACAGCTGAACATAATGGCTCAAAAGGGGCCACATATCTAGTCAAACTTATTGGACTAAAAATGGCTAGCAGTATACAAGCAAAATGTTTTGATCCACCAAAAGTGATTACATTGTGTGGCAACAGGTCTGGCTCACCCAGATAATTGCCAACATAAATTTGGTAATTAGGGTTGCAATATTTCATGGAAATAATTTTTTTATGTATTTATGTTATAAAATATTTGAAGTATGTGTTGATGTAAGTACTGACAACTTAGTTCTTCTTTGTTTCTCAGCTATGAGATCCAAGTGGAATCTGAGACCCGTGGCAAAGGACTTGGAAAGTTCCTAATGCTGATTTTAGAGATGATTGCCCACAGGTTGGTTTTAGGTGTATTAATTTGTTATTATAAGTAATTCATCGCACCATTGTTGGCATGAACAATTTTTATTAACTATCAAGGATGTTAGGCGGGTATATCATATATTACATGTGCATAGCCTGGTTTAATTTTCCAAACATTTTATTATTTTAGAGCCCAGATGAAGAAAATCATGTTAACAGTGTTTAAGGGTGTGTATACAGGAAATATTAATTCTTATTTCATGAAACTTATTTCCATTATGACTGAAACAATAAAGTTATTATTGGTGTACTGTGGAAGATCTGTAGTGAAAATCATTTGGCTCTTTTCATTAATATTAATCAAAGTGATTAAGGTATACTAATATTTTCCTGTGAAGAGTGTTCATAATTCCCCCAGACTCAGCTTGGCAATAAATATCTCAACTTATGTATTTTGTTTTACTCTTTTGCCCCTCTTTCCTGGCTTTTGAAACCTGTTAATCATGTGATTTGTTTGAACCTTTATGTTATGCATGGACAGATTCAGAGAAATGCATAAAAATTATGGAAAGTGTAAGAATTCACTCAATACATGTATCTAATGGACATTTTAAGATAATCAAAGTGAATACACAGAACCATTTAAGACTCAGTAGTTACTGACTTGTTGTTTTTTTAATTCTAGAGAATGAGAGAGCTCAAAATTTTTTCATCAAGATTATGAAGTAGGTTGAAAGAAATCTCATCCAAGTTATGTGAAAAAAAAAAGAAAATTATCTCTAATGAGTGTTCTTTTCATTTGGATTAAGGAACTTAAATTAAGTGATGAAGTATACCTTGTATTGGTATATGCATTTGATACAATTGTAAAGAGAACCTTTTATCACTGCAGCCATGTCAACACCTTACATTACTGCAGGGATATTTCATTGTTTGATTAGTTTGCATGGGTGGAAATGTTTTAAATGGCTGTACAATTTTGATAATTAAGAACCAAAGAAATAGCACACATTAGGCTTACAGTCATTCTAATTTCTTATACTTGACTCTTTTGACAGAAGAGGGTAGATAAGAGGAATTTTTGACATGTGATGTTTTTTTTTGGGAGGGGGAGTGAACTAGCAAGAAAAAGAAAAAGATTTGTTTGTTTCTTTACATTGTTAGGTTCCAAGCAGATGAGACTTCACCAGGCATCTGGGATCCAATGAACTCTGAGGATTATTTTTATGACATCCTGAGTAAACCTTTGGTGAGAAAAGCAGCTACAAACAATGACATGGGCAGCAGGGACACAGCTGCTTAGACCTTCATCAGATTTTGTGACCACCCATCATATTATTCTGTCATATCTCCCCTCCTCTACCCCCCTGTCATCCATCTCATTCCCCATGCACTTAACTAATTCTCTTAAATGTTTATTGAGGAGAAGAAATTGTTGCATTTAGATGTCTCTAATATGATTATGATGAGTGGAAAGTATGAGGGATCCTACATTAAATCTTCTCAGGTAGACTGGTCCATTCATAACTTTAGTTTGTTTGTGTTGTTGATCAGAATGTTTCTGCTTAATAAGTTGATTCTAAAAGTGTGTATTCCTCAACCTGATGGAGTAGATATAAGTTTAAAAGGAAACTCTTACAAGAATGCTTCTTCAATTTTGACTTATGGCAAGTGCTCGCAGTGATGCTTGCAATAAACACTGATTTACAGTATCATAAAATGTAAGTGGGAAAATGTTTTCAATGTATCATGAGTGTGGGACTAAAGCAAAATTCTGAGTCCCCATGAGAAATCAAACCTCAGACCTACAGCTTTTCCACTCCAATACTCTACCACCAGGCTATTACTAGGTTCCAATGTGTCACTCATTCTACATGCTGCAGCTAAATAGTTAGAGTCAACTTTTAAATAGTATGATATATTTACAAATCAATTGCAATTGAGCTTAAGAGGAAGAGATGAAAAAGCATTTGCTCTTAGAAAACCTTTATACAAAATCCAATAAACCAGGTTGATTTGTACTTGTTTTTTGCAAAGGCGACAAAAATTTGTTATAGAATATGTTAACTTTAGCCAAAGAGATCACTTTTAATTGATGTGGTGATAACTTAAAAAGCAAGGTGAGAGTTAATAAAAACTATGTGGGTTAGTTTGCATCAATTTAAACTTTATTTATCCAAGGATGGTATTTCTGGATCCTTCTCATGTATTAACCTGACCATATATCTTCTCTTACCACTTAATTAAACAGTTTCAAACTCTTGTGCTCCTCTGGTCATAAAACTATTTGCCTGTTACTGGTGCAATGTTACGATGTAATTATTTACCATGCATAAACAGAATGTCCAAATGCCTAAGCCATAAAAATATCACCTTTGTGAAATCTGTAGGGTGGCAAATTGACAGCTTTATATGTTAAAGTTCACATGGCAACCAGGTGGACAATCAGACATGGTTTGATGCTACTCTGGTTTAATGAATTTAACTGAAGAAGTTACAATTCATAGACCCAATTTTTTGACACTCCTGCCTAGTATCTTCATCAGTGGTGATCCAAACACTGCAACAAGAGGTCCTTTTATACAATCACCAATTAGCTGCCTTTTTTTCTGACAAGGTGTAAATAGGTGTCAGGAAGTAAGTCACCATCATTATGATTTAAAGGAGCATGGGTGGAGTTAATATGCCAAGCTTCCAAACAAAGCCACTGGTGGTAACACTGATTAGTGGTGATAATTTTAGATTTATCCCACCCAATTGTATGGTTAGTTAGGCACATGTGCTCCAATAAAGCTGAATTTTCTTTTTTGCAAAAGAAAACTGATCAAAGTAAGAAAGAAATTTCATGATTGTGCCTTTTGCAAGATTTAAGGTTTGCACCTTTTGTATTTTTTGGTTTTGTTTTCAAAGTGCAAAAAATTAGTAAAAACAAGGTAGACAAGGTACTGTTTGCACACAACCCCCTTAACCTGTGTTAACCCTTACTCTTTAGACATGAGCATGGAGTGCACGCACCAAAAATGGGACAGATCAGGCAAAATAAGGGAATGTTTAAGAAAACTGTCAAAACTATCGAATTCTGTTGTAGTTAAGGAGTTGGTAGGCCAGAGTTCATGAGGATTTCATTTCGTAAACTAAACCTGAACAACCACAACTTCTGCCTGTCTCTTTTTCTAGGGTTGGGATCATTACATTTACAGGTCTAGCTGGCCAGATACGGGATTTTAAGTTGTTTTCTTTTTAGATAATATCGGTGGTACTAATAGTCTATTAGATTTAAAACTTTAGAAGCATTTTTCCTTTAGGGAGGTATCTTCTCCAGTCGTGCCCCAGGCTTGCCCCAGGCCGGATGAAACACTTTCAGGACCTGGTTACCAAGCTGACCCGGGCACGTTTGGCGCGGAAAGGGATGATCAGAAACAACAATAGAAGTTACATTGAAATTTAGTTTTGGGATTTTTTCAATTCTTTTACGATGTCATCCATTACTAATGGACTAGGGACATCGGTAAAAAAAGCTGTGGGCCCTAAAGCCAAAGTGACAGTTGTTTTGGGCGCACAGTGGGGCGATGAAGGAAAAGGAAAGTTGGTTGACATCTTAGCTACAGATGCCGATCTTGTTTGCCGGTGTCAGGTAAGATCTGTGTTTCCATGATAAATGTGTCCATAAATAGAAGGGAAGTTTCAAAACTGTGTATTACATATATGTTAGAATGATCGCCTTAGATGTCAATTAAGGTTAACGAGGACATAACTTGCTCTACGTATACATGATTAATTTGCATGCGAGTCGGTCATGGTTTATTGTTTGCTTATTGTTTGTTTGTCATAACAGGATGAATGTGGATTTCAATTGTGTTGGTCTGTTGCTTATCTTGCTAGTATCTTGAAGTAGAGCAAAACATTTATCAAACAGACCTTATGAATTTGTAAGTTAGGGTCCCTCGAGATATTTACTTTGCCCTGACCTGAGCTTTGTACTGTGGCCACAGCACCTTTTTTCTGGTTGGCTTGGCTTGGAGCGGAGTCGGTGGGCATGATCAAACTGAATTTTTTACGAGATCAGATCAAAATGGGACACTCTTTGGTATTCTCATGAATTTGTCTCTACCTTTTCCCATGGAGAAGTACCATTACTAGGAAGGTGATGACAGATATCCTTCCAATACACAAGTATTGTTCATGTTCAAACATAAGAAATGGAACAATTTATTGACTCTGAGTGGAAGGTCAGCTCATGGCATAAACTTGCCTTGAATTGAGGTCAAATGCTGAAGGATGGGCTTGGCTGCAATGTTTTTTTTTGCCAGTTACTCAGTGAATGATTGTAAACTATAATCATTACTTACCCAAGGGTGAACTTTTAGTTTAAAATTCTCTCAATAACTGCTATTATATTGTAAGGCAACAGAATTGACGACAATCTGAGGTCATATTGACTAAGAAAAAAGAATGGCTGGTAATATCTGGGAGTCCAGAACCCAAACCATTGATCTCTCTGCACCTTATAAAAAGTCATCAGAGAAACATGTAATTTACCTGTGCTGTCTATTTAAGGGTGGAAACAATGCTGGTCATACAGTTGTGGTTGACTCAAAAGAATATTTTTTTCATATGGTTCCAAGGTAAGAACTCTAAAGTATGACAAAAAGCTCTTTTCTACATTTCGTCATTGTTTGATAACCATAAAATAAATTATACCCTTTTTGTGGTTTCAGTGGGTTGATTCAACCAAAGGCTGTTAGCATTATTGGTGAGAAATTTTGTCTTTTTCAGAATTATACAATCATTATATACAGATCCTTGTCAATAAATTTTATTTGGTGCATGCATGTATTTTTACTTCTCTTTTTCTGTTAGGAAATGGTGTTGTTATGCACATTCCACAGTTCTTTGAAGAGTTGAAAGAACTTGAAGCTAAAGGTGATCCCTTCTCTTCCACTTTCTTTACCTCATGTTATTACAATAAACTATTTTATTATTATTATTTTTTATTAGTAGTATTAGTATTATTATGGTACTTAAGTATTGGTTACAGGAAACTGCACTTAATTATAGAGGCCTTTATATTACATACTCTATGTACTGCTTTAGGGCTTATTTTCATTAAATTACTGTTATGTTCAGTTTATCTACAAAGACAAGACAGTGATCATATAATTTATGTTGTCAATAGCATATTGCTTTCAATTTGCAGTTTTAAGAAATCAATCAAAATAAATTATATTTGTTTCCTGGCTTTGCAGGGGTTACTGATTGGGAGAAAAGACTTCTTGTCTCTGACAGAGCTCATATAGGTGAGAAACATGTTTAACATTTAAAATGGTAATATAACAGATCTTTTTTAAATTGATTGTTGAAATGTACAAATGGTTGTGTGAACAACATGGCAGTGTAATTTTATCCATTGGTAATTCAATTATACCTGGTGGTGATGCTAACGGATATTTGAATGATGTTTTTCCCTTTTAGTATTTGACTTGCACCAAGAATCTGACAAATTACGTGAAGGTGGAAAGGGAGGGTGAGTGTGATAAAAGACTGCCTGAGGTGATTCAGTATGTCTGTAACTATCAAAAGTATATTATTTGCAATAGAATGATCCCATCTGATGTAAATATAACTGACTGAATGATATTTTAACTGATACAGAGTAAATTTATTCACACCTTCTGGTGTAATGTCTATTACCTCCAGTGAGTAAAGCTGTAAACTTTTGTCTTTTGTTAGGTTGGGGACCACAAAGAAGGGAATTGGTCCAACATATGCCTCAAAGGTACTGTTACTCGCATGGTTTGGAAGTAGAAATCTTTCAGTCATTGTAGAATAAAACTTCATCATTAGATGCTCACATAACAAGTGCACAGCTGTGTACATAAGTGCACAGTTCTGATTGTGGCTGTCTTCTCAAAGGTTTGCTTTTTAAAACTCATGTACAAACACTGCACTTTTGGCATCTTGATGAGTGCCATAGGGTAGTTGTAAACACCTGTTTAATTACTAGAGGTGACTGCATATTGGAGCTGTCCCTGTCTTATGGTTTATGTGTTGACATACTCCATTTTATTACATCTTCATTTCATACACTTAGCTCAGAGTTCATTTTGTTGCCTTTACATGTACAGGCACAAAGGATAGGCCTCAGAATATGTGACTTAGTTGGAGACTTTGAGGCTTTTGAGAGAAGGTAAGCAGCTGCCCTGTGGTAAAGAATGCTTTGATCAGTGTTAGCCATGCAAATTGATTATGATACTATGTTAATTCTTTGTTGTAATAGATTCAGAGGACTGGTGTCACATTTTCAGAGGCTGTAAGTATTGAAAGAGACAATTTTTTTTACTCACTGCTTCTCTTTAAATTGAAAGTTTATTTTTGTAAATGTTTTCTTTACTTACTTAACCTAAATAGAATGTTGTGCTAACTCTACCTGGCCAGCTTTAAATTAACCATCTTGTGGAGTACATGTGATTACTAATTCTCGATACTAATACTCAACTCATGATTATTTATAGTGATTTCCCATAGCAGCCACTTTACCTCCCCTTTTTTTCCTGTTTTTGTTTTGATGTTTGTTAAAAATCAAACAAGTTTAAACTTCAGACTGTGCATTTCACTTTTTCTCAGATATCCAGGTCTTAGTACAAACATTGAGGAAGAGATAACAAAGTACAAGGTAACGATGTTAAAGAAATTTTTCCGTTTATGTTCTCATACTTTAGTAATCCTGGATATGTTTGTGTAACTATTTGTCACTTTTAACAAACAAAATAATTAGTTTACTTATGTTAAGGATAAATAGTATTCATAATTTTATAAATTTTTTCTTTTGGTTGAATTGTAGCACTATGCAGAAAAGATCCGTCCTTTGGTGTGTGACACAGTAAGCTACATGAACAACGCACTTCAGAATGAATCAGCCAAAATTGTTGTGGAGGGAGCCAATGCACTCATGCTGGATATTGACTTTGGTAATTTTTAGCACAAGTGTTGCTTTGAAATACGCATTTTGATTTAATTTTTGAGTTGTTAACCTTGTTGAATTGAGTCAATAGTACCAAATAATTCATACAAAGATTACATCTTGAAATACAAAACCACATTTTGAGTTATTTTCAATCTCTCCATTTGCGTGTCATCTCTCTGTATTTTGTTCATAACAATCCATCTCATTTCAGCTGAATTTCTGCTGTAACTGTGTTTACATGCCCAGATATGGTCCAGACATTATCTAATGTGATTAACCTTTGGGTATAAGATAGATA